CTAACCCCAATCACCAGCTTTCTCCCCATAACCCTGCAAACCCGTCTTCCCCAGATACCTGTCCAGTTCCCTCTTAAAACCTGTTATCGAATTGGAATTCACTGCCCTTTCGGGCAGATCATTCCAAATTCGAACAACAGAGTGAAAAAAATTATTATAACCTCCCCTATGCTTCTTTTGGTAGATATCTTAAGACTGTGACCACGGGTCACAGACACACCTACCAGCGGAAACAGCTTTTCCCTATCTCGCCTGTCGAAACCATTCATGATCTTGAAGACCTCTATCAGGTCCCCACGTAACCTTCTCTGCTCTAATGGGAAAAGTCCTAACTTCTCCAGCCTGTCCTCATAGCTAAGCTTCCCCATTCCTGGTATCATTCTCGTGAATCTCCTCTGTACCCTTTCCAGTGCCTTAATGTCCTTCCTGAAGTAAGGTGCCCAGAACTGGACACAGTACTCCAGCTGAAGCCTAACCAGTGTTTTGTATAGATTAACCATAACCTCCCTACTCTTATCCTCTATGCCCCTACTAATAAAGCTCAGTACACCAAATGCCTTTTTTACTGCCTTATCTACCTGCCCGCTACCTTTAATGATTCGCTTACTTGAACACCCAGATCTCTCTGTATGTTCACCCCCCTTAAGATTGAGCTACCAAGCTTATATTGCCTACTATCATTTTTCCTACCTAAGTGTATCACCTCACACTTATCCACATTGAAATCCATCTGCCACATGTCAGCTCATTCCACCATTCTGTGTATGTCCTCTTCCGATACAGTCCCTCCTAAACAGTTTATAACCTTCCAGATGCGAATCCCATTGATTGGATTCATTCCACTATGTCTCTGTTATAATAATGATGTCGAATCTATCGGCCCCAACACGACCTTCCAGATCACGCATCTTGTTTGTCAGACTTGTTGCGTTAATGCAAGTACAGCTCCATTGTTTTTGCCTTTCCCATTTACTTTATAAGAATTTTTTGTTTGTTTCTCACCAACCTTTGAAGTTAGACCCATTACATTGATACGCCTTAAGGTTTTCCCTAATGGGTTCAGGTGCTCTCTTAAACCTACCACAACCACCCCTGTGCCTAGTTTAAACACTCGCTAACTAAATTATCTATCCTGCTGCCAACACCTCCACCCACCTTTTGTTTAGGTGGACCCCGTCCAGTCTGTATAGGTGTCTCCTGTTCCAAAAGTTGCCCCATTGTTTGAGGAAACAAAAGTCTGACTCCCTACACCAATGCCTTAGCCACCCATTGGTCTGCCTAATTACCCTCTGTCTTTCCTCACTTGCACGGGGTATGGATAGTATTTCAGAAAATACTACACTTGAAGTCACTTTCCCTTTAGCTTCCTTCCTAACGCTCTAAATTTAGCATGAAGGGCCTCTGGTCTACTTCTATCTATGTGATTTATTCCCACATGAAAAACTGCAGTTGATTCCTCACTTGCTCCCTGTAGCATCTGGTCAACCCAAAGCATCAGATCCTCAACCCATGCACCTGGTAGGCAACTTACCATTCTATTTTCTGGGTCCACTTTGCACAGCATGCGATCTGTGAACCAAATAGTTGAATCCCCTAATGTCACAAATTGTCTGCTACTCTTTCTCTTCTTCCCTCCTTCCCTGGCAGGCTGCTGGACTGCCTCAGTGCACAGCACTCCCTTGCCTGTCTCAGCCATCACTTGGGTTTTCATATCATCTCTCTCCAGAGGAGAGTAAATGGAGAGCACCAGGGATGTCCACTCCTGCTTCATTTGCCAACCACGACCCCACAACATTGCTAGACTCCACCACTACCCCACCCCTCAGGAAGCCGAAACCCTCACCTATGCTTTCGTCACATCAAGGCTCGATTACAGAAACTCCCTCCTCATCGGGCTTCCCAACTCTTCCCTTCACAAGCTGCAGATGATCCAAAACTCTGCAGCTCGTATACTCTTACGCGCCAGGTTCCATGATCCCATCACGCCCACCCCTCGCCCGACTCCATTGGCTCCCCATTCCTTCGAGGATCGAATTCAAGATCCTCGTCTTCACTTTCAAGGCCATCCATGGCCTTGCCCTCTCTGACCCGCTGACTCCCTACCAACCTGCCCACTCCCTCCGTTCAGCGGGTTCCAGTCTACTCCATGTCTCCCACCCGACCCGCCCTACCATCAGTGGCCAGGCTTTCAGCCTCTCAGCCCCCACACTCTGGAACTCCATCCACAGTCCCTTTGCCCCACTTCCTCCTTTGCCTCCTTCAAGGCCAGTCTCAAGACCCTTTTTTTCGATCATAACTTCGGTCACCTCTCTGCCTTCCCTCAGCCCTACCCTAGCCCTCCCCCATGCTCGGGTCCCGATAGCTGACTGTGCAGCGCTTTGGGACGTCCTCCCGACGTGAAAGGCACTCTATAAATGTCATTGTTGTTGTTCTTCTGGCCCGTTTCCTAACAGAGACCCAATCCCCTCCTCTAGGTAACGGGGACTCCTCTCCTACTAGCAAGGTCTACTCCAATACATCATTCATAAACACTTCTCCCTCCCTAATACTTTGGTGCGTGGCCAGTCACTTGCTTAGGCTGATCACTTCCGCCTTGAATGAATCTACCAGTTTCTAGTTAATGCAGATGAATCCATTCAAAACCTGGGCCTGGAAAGCACACATCTCACAACTTCTTCAATGCACAAAGTATTTCATTGTTATATACGTTATATGAGAAAAAAAGTGTTCTCATCTGCACCAAATTCCCCCTCTCACCAAATTCCCTCTCTCACCAAATTCTTTAATAGAATTCACACTCTGTTCCACCTCACTCAGTTCCCTCCTCACGCTGCTAAGGTCTCTATTCAAGTGAGGCTCTTGCAATTCTCACCTGACACAACCAGTTTCAACTGGTCAGCAAATAATTAACTAATTAGCTAATCCCTAACAAAAACAGAGATCGCTTGGAAAACTCAGCAGGTCAGACAGCATCTATGGAGAAAGGAAAGTAAGTCAACGTTTCGGGTCCACGAACAGTTCTGACGAAGGGTCATGGACCCGAAACGTTGACTCACTTTTCTTTCTCCATAGATGCTGCCTGACCCGCTGAGGTCAGGTGGTGACATTCATTTTGATGAATGCAGTTAAGGTCATGGGGAGAAATAGCCAAACAGGAAGTCTTGATTTATTGTACATTTTGAAAACCTTACCTGGTGAATTGATAAATATGCTTAAATATTCCTACTCCTCATTGTAGAATTTTCACAGCATGAGACAATTTCCATAATCACTCTTTGGAAGTTAACTTTTATAATTGAAATTTATTGAATAGATATTAAATTGACTTGTCTTTGTCAAATCAACACTACTATTAGGATCTCCAGTGAACTCCTGGTAATAAGATCCTGGCTTGTATCATCACATGGCTTTTATGCTGTGCGCAATTGGCTGCCACATTTCATCCACAAATTATACAGTCAATTCACGTTACAGTATATTCTGTGAAGCACTTTGAGACATCTAGAAGATGTGATAAGGCACTATATCAAATGCAAGGATTATTATTATCATCGTCATGCTGTCAATATCTCAGCCACTTCTTATACAAAATGTCCATAGGTGACTCCTCTATTTCATCACTCGCTTATAACATATAAAGTTGCATTCTATATATCCCAGTAAGTAAAATATTGAATACATAATGGAAATAAATTTTCCTGGACAACTCATCCAGCTACACCACATGCCGGGGCCATCCAACTAACTCTTGCAAGAGTTAGTTAAGCGTGGGAACACATCACCGGGCCTCTCGGTGAACCATTGCAATGAGCAGCCCTACATCGAGGGCAAAGGTTGGCCCTCAGCTCGCTGGATGGAAGGCTGTTTTGACTGTTGTTGCAAGATCTCTGAGAATAGAAATTGTAGACCTTGCCTTCTGTGAGTTTCTGCCTGATTGTTTAAGTCTGAGCGATTCAGGTTGTTAAAATGAAGATTTTTTTTAATATACACACATGCCAATACATATATGTATACGGTGCTTAATTTAAAACAAATTTTAATAAACTGACAGGTGTGGGGGCTGGGGCTATTTTGTCACACTGCCCAGCTGCTCGCTCTGCACAGATGCAGGGCGTGTTCATATAGGTCCTCGTAGCTACACCTCCCCCTAGTGGCCCCAGAGAACTTGTGGCTACATAGTCACCCAGATATCGTCACTGAGCTATTTTCCATTGGACACAATAGATCAGGAGTTTAATGTAGTTCAATCCTGCATGCATATTTGAGTCAGTCATCCAGATCCGGTTTTGCAAAGACTGCTGACATTTCAATAACAAAATAAATGCTGAAATGTAGTTTGATTCTTTTACTTATTAACCTGGCAGTTGATGTTACTTTTGTCTGAAAAATAGAACTCAAATGAACTAAGGCTTGTTCAACATGACAAAACGATTACTAGGAAATATCTGGAATGTGCATTTAACCAGGAAAACTGGTCAAATTAATATTTGACTATCATTTGAATGTCTGGGTTAACATTGATTTATGGCTTTGTACTTTGTATTGTGTAGAATCTTTGTAAACACTAGAAGAGCTGTTTAGATTTCAGATTATTGGAAGTACAGATGTTGAATTATTTTAAGTATTTAAAAAAATTCACTAAAATCTCTAATTTGAAGTGACCCTGTGGCGTAAGGTTGAAGGTAGCCACATTTTGGAAGTTAACAAAATGAAAGGGTTCATCCTTATCAATTACGCAAGATTGGAAGAGTAGGCTTAGGTGAGCTCGAGGAGCTGGTAGAAATAAAAATCCTTCCAGGATGAGGATTTGATAGTTCCGCGAGGACTGTAATGATGATTGTGATATTATTAATTGTGGTATACAATAATATTTTTTAAAAACATGTCCCTTTTTAATATTGTATTTTACTGTTCATAGCTTTTGGGGACTTAAACCAGGTTCTCATTTTTGTTCATTTAATTACCTGACTGATTTCATTTTTCGACACCTCTTCCACCAGCATTAATCAAGTACATTCGACCTGTTCTCGTGTCTCGTTTGGACCAGGATTCTCGACGAAAAACAGTTGAAGAAATAAGACAGAGAGCTCTTTCTAATGGCAAATGGCCTCAGGTGATTATCCTCACATTTTATTTTTTTTCAAAACAAGCAAAACTTACTGAATTGGTGTATTTCATGTTTTCACTTTTAAAGTGTGTGATTCACTAAAAATAACATTACATTTCTAAGGTGGATAGTTTTCATTTCAATATTTTCATATTTATAGCAGTCTTTGGTTTTGAATCTAACAACCTTAATTCAGAATCTTTGTCCTTTGAGTAGTCTTCAGAAAGCTAGATGGGAGAAGCTTTCCATGTATTGGTGCTCCTCAATGCTCTAAATCTTCATTCATAAGTGTCAAAGACCAGTTTTTAAGACGTCAATTTCCTAACTTGAATTGTCTTAAATACGCCTATGTTGCATTGCTACTGGTAGTTAGACAGGTACTTATTTATATACATGCTTATATTTATTCGAGGTTTAATGCCAAAAAATCTGAACATAATTTCTACTGCTTATATATTTATCAATTGAGAACTGCTATGTAACTTTTTTTGTACTATAAATTGTATTTTAGGTAATGATATTCCCAGAGGGAACGTGCACAAACAGAACCTGTCTGATCACCTTTAAACCTGGTAAGGTTACATCTATTTTCTGAAACAGAAATTCTTTGGTATTGAATTCTTTGGAGCCGTGAAATGTTGCATTTTAATTTAGTGATCCTCTTGACTTCACTTCCAGTAATTGTGGCGTGTGGGATATTGGGCTCATACTTGGTGCTTTCAATTATGGCTAAAGGGAAAAAATTGATTTCTTTATTAACATTAGAAATACTTCTTTCATAATTTCTGAGCTTTTTATTTAAAGAGGAATAGGTGATGAGCGGGGCAATAGAAAATTGCGGAAATATTTGCCAAAATATTGCGGGGAAATTTGACAAATTTTCCAGAAAATTGCAACCTGCTATTGAGAGGTATATTTTACTACTAACCTACATTTTTTCACTTTATTGATAAAGACTAAACATGAAGAAATAACACACATTAGATTGTTGCAAAAAAAATTAATAACAATCCTTGCATTTGATATAGCGCCTTATCACGTCTCCGAGACATCTCAAAGTGCTTTGTTGAGTATACTGTAAAGTAAATTGACTTTTTTTTTTGTGTGGGTGAAATGCGACAGCCAATTGCACATAGCAATGTCCTACAAATAGTCATGATGGTTTCTTTGACAAAAACTGAGTGGCCCACTCGTAGGGTGGGGGAGGGGGGAACACAAGCACAGGGCCGAATGGTCTGATTCCACCCTGCACTACACCTGAAGGGCAGTGTACTGACTTGCGGAACTCTAGGGGTCACCACCTCCTGCCTCCCGGGACCCACCACCTCACACAGACACAGAGAGACACACACACTCAGAGATGGAGAGAGACATACAAACACACACTCATAGAAGAAACACACTCACAAACATAGAGAGCTACACACGTCCCAAGGCCCTGGACAGTGTACAGCATTTCAGACCCAAGCTGGGGTCAGGGAGGGAGAAGGGAGGGGAGGGGAAGGGGGATGACTGATGGCATGGTCGAAGAGGAGGGTTTTAAGGTGGGACTTGAAGGAGGCTAAGGAGGGGGCGAGGCGGAGTGATTGGAGGATGAAGTTCCAGAGGTTGGGGGCAGAGTGGCTGGAGGCTCTCCCTCCAATTGCGGGACAGGTGGGTCGGGGACATGGAGCAGGCCAGAGCTGGCTGAGCGGAGGGAGCGGGCGGGTTGGTAGGGGATTAGGAGGTCGCAGAGGTAGAGTGGGACGAGGCCATGAAGGGCTTTAGGTGAGGACCAGGATCTTGAACTGGATCCTCTGAAGGGTAGGGAGCCAATGGAGTCAGGCGAGAGTGAGGGAGATGGAGTCATGGAGTTTTGTGCAGGAGACGGGCTGCAGAGTTCTGGATTTTCTGCAGTCTGTGGAGGGAGGAGTTGGGAAGGCCGACAAGCAGGGCATTTGCATAGTCGAGCCTGGAGGTGATGAAGGCATGAACAAGAGTTTCAGCGGCCTGAGGGGTGAGGTAGTGGCAGAGTCGAGCGATGTTTCGGGGGTGAAGGAAGGCAGAGCGGGTCATGGCTTGGATGTGGGGAAGAAAAGACAGTTGAGGGTCGAACAAGACACCGAGGTTGCTGACTGGTTTGGTGAGTTGGAGTGTGCAACCATGGAGGTTGATGCTGCCAGAGCCTGAGGTGCAGAGGCACTGGCGCGAACCAATCAGGAGGGCCTCAGTCTTGTTCACCTTCAACTGTAGTAAATTTGCCCTCATCCAGGACTTGATGTCCGACAGACAGTCTGTCAGGACAGCAGTGGTGCTGGAGTTGAGAGTGGAGGCAGAAAGATAGAGTTGGGTGTCATCCACGTACATGTGGAGGTTGACCCCATGTCCGCGGATGATGTCACCAAGGGGGAGCATATAGATATTAAAGAGGAGAGGGTCAAGGACAGAGCCCTGGGGGACCCCAGACGTGACAGTGCGGTGGCTGGAGGAGAAACCGTTAGAGGCAACAAAGTCAAGCCGGTGAGAGAGACAGGAAACTCATTTCCCGCTCACGCCCCACCACGCATGCGCATCTGCAGCTGCTCCGGCCACAGTTGCAGCACAGAGGGCATTGGGTAACTAGCCATCAGCAGCGCCCAGTGGCCCGGGCGCCAGGGAAACTTCATTTTTGCAGATTTTCAAGCAGAAGTGGGTGTTTGTAGCGGATGGGAATTTTTGTGGTGGATTCCACAGAAAAATTGTAGCCTCACTTCTCTATTGGTGATGAGTCAAATGAGATTTGCATCCATAAATTTATGCTATGTAGGGTAAATTGCGTTACATGTCATGAACGGTGCTCCACAGCGATTTGCACTGCTAGAGATGCTATTTATACTGCACTTTTGTTGACAAATCAATGCCAGAATCTTGACAAGTTGTCATTCAACATGCAGTATAGGTGCAGCATTACAGATATTGCTGCTTAAAGAAATGTACCTGGACACCAGGTAGCATGTCAAGATGACACAGTGGACTATGCTTAAAATTAACTTCCAGAAAATGTGTTGGTGATGTTCATAATCATCTGTACCACCCTTATAAGAATGGGCATAGTCGGCCTGCTTCTGCACTTGTGAATTTTTAATTGATTTAATGTGAATGACTCTGTGACTGTACGTAGGGTCTGTATAGCAGTTAGAGGTTGTGCAAAATGTTTTAAATGGATATGTTGGAAATATCTTGGCTAGCTGGAAAGGAGAGTTTTAGAATTCCATTTAATCATAAAGGAAATCTCATTTTGATGTCTAGTTCTTCTGCCTGACATGCTTCATAAGAACATCTGTTCTGAATATGTTACACAAGCCATTAAATTCTGGAAATAATATTTACATTCAATGAATATTCCACTCAGATAAATGTATTCTCTGTGTTTGTATGAACTTCTCCCTCCCTTCCCTCCATTCAATCTATTTACTAGTTTTCTCTTACTTTGACACAAAAGTTTAGTAAGTTGCATACTTTCACAATATTCTCACTGTCTAATTTAGCATGTAAATAGGATAATGTCTTTGCTCCCAAACATAATTTCTTTAGTCATCGCAGGAAACTTTTACTCTGCTGATATAGTGAACGTTTATTCAATAAACTTGAATGATTTTTGGGGAGCTATCTGCAAAAAACAACATAGTCCCGTTCTTGCATAGTTTTTGTATGATGTTCTCCTATCGATGCATGGTATTGGATTAATGATAAAATAATAATCATTCCTCATTCTTTAAAACAAGTTCACACATCAGTTTGGCTCAGTTGGTACAACTCTCATTTCTGGGTCTGAAGGTTGTGGGATTATCCCACTTTTAAGACTTGTGCTTAGTTTTAGCTGAGTGCTGGCATAGCTGCTATCCTTTAAAAGAGGCATTAATCAGAATGCCAGTCTGCCTATGGACTTTAAGGATCCTGTGACACCATCCAAAAGGAGAATTTTTTCCGCTCAGCTCATGACTGTTTGCGGCATTTTACTGGTGCAGTAGCTGCTGTTTGGCCCAAAAAAGGTCACAACACTTGACAATAACAGTCGGCCCATCTTCCGTGTCTTGGCTCTTTGAAAGGACTAATAGTCCCACCCCTGCTCTTACCCCATAGCCCTGCATTGTTTTTCTTTTTAAGTACCTATCAAATTCCCTTTTGGAAGCTATTATCAAATCCACTTCCACCACCCTTTCAGGCAGTGCGTTCCAGACCTTAACAACTCTCTGGGTAAAAAAATCTCCTCGTCTCCCTTCTGGTTCTTTTGTCAGTTATCTTAAATCTGTGTCCTCTGATTACTGATTCAACTGCCACAGGAAATAGTTTCTCCCCATCTACTCTTATCAAAACCCCTCATAATTTTGAACATCTGCATTAAATCTCCCCTCAATCTTCTCTGCTCTAAGGAGAATAACCCCAGCCTCTCTAGTCTCTACATAATTCTAGTCCCTCGTCTCTGGTATCATTCTTGTAAATCTTCTCTGCACCCTCTCCAAGGCCCTGACATCTTTCCTAAAATGTGAAGTTAGAATCTACAGGAAGTTGGATGATTTATAGAACAAGTTGTATATCACATTCATTATGCAGTTATTTGTAGTATTTGATCATGCGGTGGGATTATTGTTCCCAACATTAAATGTGGCAGCATGAAGTGGTGTACAGAGCAGCATGTTTCAAGAGCTGAGACTACTGAAAAACGTTTTAAGACCAGAACAGCACTTCTTCAAACAAGTTATAGATGATTCATCTTATGCACAGGACTTGTTTCTAACCTTTGAATATTGTAAATAAATTGTAGTTTATTTTAGATTTCATAATTTGTCATTCTTATGGTTGCATGTGAAAACGTCTCCATTTTCCAAATTTCCATAAATAATTACAACAATTTGCATTCATATAACACCCTTCACGCCAGAGGCGTCTAGTCAATGACACGTACTATCAGTATGTTTATTTTGTGATAACCTATGAAAAGAATGGTGCTTAATTGTTAGCTATAGTTTTTGAACCTGAACAAACAGCCAAAATCATAAATCATTGATTAAATGCAGTTTGAATGTATGTGCATTTTCTGTTTCAAAAGAAAACTAATAAGTAACATCTTCTGTGATTAGTCAGTTGACAATATCCATTAATATTCAGATTTATGCATTAAGACATGGTCAAAGTCTAATGCAGACTTTAAAAAAAAATGATATATTCACCCAACTTATGCAGCAAGTTAGCATATGCAGCAAAAGTCCACTTCTTTCAGTATTGTCAGGGACATTCAAGATCTAGGTAAATTGACTTTTTTTTGGTCAGTATGACACATGTGGAAACCCATCACAATGCTTAAGAGTATCCAAACCGAGCTGACATTTTCATGTATTCCACCTACCATGGAAATTCCACAGATAGATTGTTGTAATGGTATGCACACTCTCTCCCTGGAAGGACGCATCCTGTTTTCCTAATTCCAGAAAGTATGAGGTGCAGGTTGGCAAGAGCCAAGGCTTTGGGGTCCCCAGAATATGCGTTGGAGGCCTGCTGGAGTCTATCCATCTAAAATCGCATAGCTTGCCTTTGATATTGCTGTCTGGCAAGCTTTCCCTCTGCTTGTCCAGCTAGGACCAGCCTATCCATTCGGGCTTTGCCTTGCAGGGTTAACAACAACAACAAAATTACATTTGAATTGTTCCTTTCATGTCGGGAAGATATCCCAAGGAGCTGGACAATCAGTGTTTCGGACCAGGAGCTAAGTGTGATGACTCTCTGCCCTCAGTGACTGGTCTGCCTTCCAAGTCCTGCTGATGAGTCCAGCTAGCTGTGCTGTGATCAGCAGTGCCCTGGCATACTGTGGATCCGCCTAGCTCAGGAACTGGACTGCCGAGACCGCCACCGCCAGGGTTGGCTCGATTCTGACATTCTGTTGCCAGGCATGTCACCTTGCAGCCGTTAACAACTCCAAGGAGACCCCACTTACAACTGCATAAATTGCCGAAGTTCAAATCCCTGGGGATTTAATACTCTTAAAATTCAACTTCGAACCTCAGTTTCGAGGAAATCTGTCATAATAGAAATTTCCATCATCATAATAAGTATATAAGGTAGCAAGAATTTCACATTCTCCGTATCCTCCAATGCTCAGACATGGACCAGGACAGGTTAGTTAGTCATCATTTTGTCAACTGCGTATTAAGAGCCAGGACATGCTGCCTCAAAGCAAACGGTCTCTAAGCAAGTAGTGGGATGCAAAATTTAAGTGTGTACATTCATGAGGTTACATGCTTTAACTTATTTGAGATAAAGATCTGCAACTAATGGAATTATTTTTCTGTTTTGGAAACTTTGTGAATAGGAAATTTGATTTTGAGTTTGGAAATGTTGCAAGTAAATCAGAGAAATGGTATCAAGGCTGTCTACCAAACAGATTATAATCAGTTATAAATGTTTATTTATTTTCATTTTAGGAGCTTTTATTCCAGGAGTTCCTGTGCAACCTGTAGTTTTGCGTTATCCCAACAAAATGGTGAGTTTTTAATACTTATACATATGAAACGTTTTTTTTATAACCCATAGTTATTATATGATAGGCCTGCATGTAATGAAATACAGTGCAGCCTCACTGTAGTGAATCGTTTTTCAAGCGCTTCACTGTGGACCTTGCTCATTGCACATGCATGCAACTGGCCTGCTTGTTTCACTAAAATGGCCAACCTCCGATTCATTAGGTCATCGTCACTTCCCACTTTACTTCACATATGAGGTGTGACATTGGCAGCGAGCTAATGACCCGTAAGTCCACCATTTTAGTATCCCTAAAAGTATTGCCAATGATCGTCACAGACATCACTTTTCTACTTTGCACATGTGCAGAAAACAGGAAGTGACATTGCAAACCCTTGACTCTCCAGCTCCTTGGGACATCCTCCTAACATGGAAGGTAATTTGTTATTGTTGAGATGAGCCACTGACCCTGACGTCTGCAATATTTTCTTTTCGTTAGCAATGCAATAACAATAAATTAAATTTGTATAGCACCTTTCGCACCTGGAGGACATCCTTGGTGGCCAATCCGTTAGTACTATAAATCAGACTACTGCTGAAAAAAGGATTCAAATGAGCTGAAATATTGCCATTGTGATGAGATCTCCTTTACATCCTGCATGAAGCGCTATATAAATGCAGTTTGTTGTAAAGAAAAAGTGTGAGGTAGAAATTATGATATAATAATCCTTACATTTGATACAGTGTCATGTCAGAAGGGTGTCTCAAAATGTTTCAAGTGATTTATTGTGAAGTGTGGTAACTTCTTATGGGTGAAAGCAGCAGCCTATTTGCCAGGACAACCTCCCTTCTCTTTTCAATAATGCCATTGGGATCTTTAATGTCTACCTGAACAGGCAGACAGGAAGCTCTTAATGCATGTACACTCTTGAGGCATCAACTCTTTATTCTGCAACTAATATGCCAGTGGAATTGTCTGAGTGTTGGTCTGAGGCTTAGAAACTTCGGTCACATATGGGACAACAGGCTTCACCTGGCTATGAGATTTCCAATGCAGCACCACCACTACTCTGCTTGATACTTGATTGGCAATGCTAGTTTAATTGCTTTGCTGACTCCAAAATACCTAGAACCTTTTATAGCTGTGTCTATAAACTTACTTGCATTAGCTTATAATAATTTTTTTTCACCCATTAGATGGCACAAACCCACGTGACACAGCACAAAAATCTGTCACATTAATCCAAAATTCGCACATTCAACTTTGAAGTTACTACAATGCATGTTTTAGTATTGGGCACATGTATGTTCTGTCTTGCCACCAGTTTAATTAACTCCAGAGTGTAAAAGCAGAACCTGCAGAGTAGGGTATCACAGTACCATTTTAATATCAATGTGTCAGCTATTACTCACCTGAGACTTGTGTGACAGCTACAAAGTTTACATTTGATTGTTGGTGCTTCAGGCATTGAGATAATTGATATTTTCATGTCTTCATCGTTCCCAGTGTGAAAATCGTACCCTGCTGGAAATGGGCAAAGGATAGATTTAAAAATAGACAAACTTAAAATTGTCATTAAGCAGCATAAATTTGCTGATTTTAGAAATTTCCTCGTAATATATAAGATTTTGATGCACCCTTCCAAATATCAGTTATCTGTAATTTTGTTGTAAACATTTTTAAACTTCATTTTTGATTCAGTTTTCAATTAAAAATTATTCTAGGATACGATCACCTGGACATGGCAAGGGCCTGGAGCGTAAGTTGTCTACATTCAAGCCTTTTTAAAATTTGTTGATAAACTGCTACTGTTTAGCATGCATTTAGTCCTGTCTTAAGCTAAGGTGCCACGAAGAATAGTGTTGTAACTTTCTGAGGTGTTGTAATTAAAAGGCGTTTGGTCCGCAGAGACTGTTCAGAAAGTTATATTTGTGAATTAGAAAGCTGTAAGAGAGTTGGATATTTCCAAAATGTGATCTTAATGTCTTCCCTCCCCCCCACTCCCACCTCCTTCCTTGTCCAGCATCTCACTTTAAGAAGTTCCTAAATTAAATGCTCAGAGAATGCTATATAACTGTGTGTAGTCTTTTTTGTTTGTTTCCTTCGGCATTTACTTTTGAGTTCTACAATAAATGTGTAACAGCAATGTACATAAAAGGGAATTTACATTGTTTCAAGTCATTGGCTAATGTGTCTACTTTAGCAACAGAAGACTTTAAATAAGTCTTTTCTCTTATCCTATAAGTAGATTGTTACCATAATGAATAATAAAATATTTTCCTGGTAAAATTAACAAATGAAACTGATGTATAAGAATGTTACTAACCAAGTTTTATTTCTCAAAAGGCTAAAAATTCTTTGGCTCACCTTGTGCCAGCTACACAATAAAGTGGAAATGGAGGTTAGTTTTTGTACACTTTTTGAGGCCACTTTGTCGACCTGTTTCTACTACTCTAGTTAAGGTTTCAAACAATTTTATCCAGCAAGAAGTAGCTAATTGTCAGAGCATCATGTTTCTAACAAAGAATGTATTTTGTAATATGATACTTGTTTTTATTTGTTCATCCTCCTCATACCTTTTAGATAAGCCTTCACATCTGGTGTAAAATCACTGAACACATTTGTCTTTTATGGTCTGAAGTCATGGGAGAATCGTAATCTTACCCCCATGCCCATCTTGCATAAAAGTCTCAACCACAAGCCAGTTTCCATTTTTTTTCTCTACTATACTAATATTGTAGCATATTGAGATTGAAGCTGCTCTTTCTGGTACATGATGGACTTCAAATTGTACAAATCCTTTCCAGAGACTTTCTCATGAAGTAAGAATAGCCTAATCAACAATCTCTTTTCACCCAAAAAGTCTTTAAAAAGAGGATTAGCCGTCCAATTCGATGAAGAATAGTGGGCTCTACAGATAATATAAAGTTTATTCTAGAACGGAAGCAAATCATACTTTTTGTGGGATTGTACCTTTTCAACGGAATAAGTCAAGGACATGGTGCACCTGAGCAAGAAGCTTGGATTCTTCCAATTCAATAGCCTTTTATCAAATATGCACTCTAAAAGCATAGCTTAAAAGAGCTGGAGACTGGTTTCTGGGCAAGATTTTTCTGTATAATTGGAGGTAAATCACACGACTCTCCAATGCTTCAGACTGTAAAAACATTACCTGCATGACCTTTCTCCCAGATGTCCTATCCTACATTATGTGGAGAATAAACTCAATTCAATACACTGGAGTCTCCCAAAGACAGGTAAGTGATGTTACAACTTCATGTTTTCATTTTCCACAAAAGGCTGCTCAGAAATGGAACTAAAATTGAATTGGAATCAGACTATTTGCAGCGTAGGAGGTCATTCCACCCATGTGTGTATTGGTGCTAGCTTGTCCACTGGAGATATCTACTCTAATCCCATTGCCCTGTTCTTACCCTATGCGTTTCAGTATTTCTTTTCAAATGTATACACAATTTCCTTTAAATAGTTTGATGTATATTCACCAAATCTGATCTAATTTGGCATAATTTCTTATATTTCTTAACTTGTTGAATTGTTCTCATTTTATAATTTTGGTGCATTTTTTAAAATCTAAATGGGTTGTCAGTGCTGTGATGTTCAGATTAAAGATCCCTTTACTCAATCAATAGAGTACAACGACCCCAACCTCAGAAACGCCAACCCTATTGCATTAAAGTGGTTTACCCTTTCCCATATCAGTCTTCATTATGGTTTCTTTTAATGTTATTGTTTGTTTAATACCAATTGTGAACAGTTTTATGTTGTGGATCTCTGCCAAGAGAAACTGGATTGATACTGGTGAAACTCATTTCACATGAAATGCTTAGAGAGAATTTTATCCTCAAACGGCTGCAAATAGTCTGATTCCAATTAAATTTTAGTTCCATTTCTGAGCAGCCTTTCATGAAAAATGAAAACATGAAGTTGTAACATTACTTACTTGTCTTTGGGAGTCTCCAGTGTATTGAATTGAGTTGAGGGTGAAATCGAGCCAGTTGAAATCCTGGTTGAAAAGGAGAAAGAGCATTGCACTTAGCTCACTGGATCATTCAGAAACCAATTGCATTGCTGCCACAACTGGCCAGGTCACCCTTTCTTCTGAACTCATAGAGAGTCTTTGTATGCTTTCCTGACTTTCAGTTTGTTAAATTACATTGCAGATGTTTTAAGGCAGTGCAAAACGAGATTTGTAGATAATATTTTAGCTTATTAATCTATTATTTTCACTAACTCTGCCCACTCCCATAAAATACAGAATAAGAATCACTAGCCACTCACACTTGCTAACGGGTTTTATAGCACATATGAGTTGTTATAAATGGTGTATTTTATATTAATGCAGGATACTTAAATATGTGTGGAATAACCACAACAAGTTAATTAAAGTTAGGATTTTTTATGAAATAGTTCAAACTGTCAGCTATTATATATACTATATAATCATTGCTTATAATTTGCTTAATTGCAAGTATTCTGGAAGCACAATTATCAGCCAGTGTGAAAGACTTTCAGGATTTTCAATTTAACAATTAAATTTGCAAAGGTTCACTGTATAGTCATTGTTAAATGTTGCATGATAATATTTTTATCATAATTATACTTCATAGGGTACTTTTGTATCATAGAGCAGTGAACTTAAAGTAATTCTTCACTTTATGGGAATGTAATAGCTCAATAAGGACAGACGTACAAAGTATGTGTGTCTGTTCGTAGCTATTACTATCCCATAAAGATATTATACCTGACTACTGGAAAACTGACATGTTATTCACATCTATGCTGCACTCAGTTTCTTAGCTCTAATGGGGTAAGAAATTATGGATATAATTCTGTCTTGTTATCTAATTTTCCTACTCTACAAAATAATTCCTGTGAAAAGTACTGTTAAACCAGTTAATGCTGTGCATGAAAGATTTGATTTCTCTTTGGGCACTAATAAAATTGTGCATTGTAAAATTGTTTTTTGCCCATGGACTTTTGTGATAAAAATTGAATACAACAATAACTTGCATTTATATAGCACCCTTCATGCAGGGTAGCGTCCCAGTGTGCTTGGCAGTGGCGGAATCTGACACCGAGCCAGGGAAGAGGGAGAGGAGAGGTGACAAAGAAACATCAAAAAGGAAGGTTTTTAGGCGGGATTTGAAAGTGGGGAGGGAGGGGGCAAGGCGGAGGGATTGAGGGAGAGAGTCCTATAGTTTCGGGATGTAGTGGTTGAAGGCACAGCCACCAAAGGTGGAGGAGACGAGGGACAAACAGGAGGCTGGAGGCAGCGGGTGGTGGAGTGGGGGGTAAGCAGATCGGATGATAGGGAGTTGAGAGGGCATGAATGGATTTGAAAATGAGTGAGACGATCTTGAAATTGATCTGTTTGATAATTGAGAGCCTGGCAAGGACTGGGGTGATGGGGGTACAGAAGTTTGTGCGGGTTAGTATCCGCGTGGCGGAGTTTTTAATCAATTTAATTTTGTGTATGGTGGAGCTGGGGAGACCAACCTATCATCCGATCTGCTTACCCCCCACTCCACCACCCGCTGCCTCCAGCCTCCTGTTTGTCCCTCGTCTCCTCCACCTTTGGTGGCTGTGCCTTCAACCACTACATCCCGAAACTATAGGACTCTCCCTCAATCCCTCCGCCTTGCCCCCTCCCTCCCCACTTTCAAATCCTGCCTAAAATCCCGCCTGGGCATTGGAATAGTCCAGCTGGGAAGTGATGAAGGCTTGGACGAGGGTTTCGGCTGCGTTGGTTGTTAATCTATGACAAAGCAAAATACATCTATTAACAAAAACTACAATGTTCAAAAAACTAAACTTCACACCACACTGCGTAAAATTTTTATATTTCATGAGTCCTTTCAATAATCCAAGTCAGCAGAAAAATTTAGCTTTTAAATTGCATTTTCAGGCCATGCAACAACACACAATATTTCTTCAGTAAGTAACAAGTGTAACAGTTTACCAGGAAGGATGTCTAGGACACTAATCTCACTTACAAAACAGCTTGATTTAAGGATGGTTTGGTGGATATCTTTGGAGCGGGATAGATATGGTCAAATAGCTGAAAGGCCTTCTTCATACAGATCTCCCATGATCTTGTGAGTTCATGTTTGAAACCAATGTTGTCTGTTGGAATCATCAGCAAAATGACTTAGTAATGTGGCTGCTCCACTTGCGAGTCTTAAGACCACTTTAGCTCTGCTCATCATCCTAGCTTGACTTTGAATATAGAGAATCAAGTCTCCACTGTAGATAGTTGTTTACAAACAGCACCTTCTGGCAGACTTTAAATGTATTGCAATGATGCAGCAATGCTACTTGTACACAGAAGAAAAATATTTTGTTGCATTTTATAACCTAGGTTAATCTCTGCTTTGATTTTAATCAATTAGACATTTTCATAATTTTATGTGTAATTAGATATTAATTCAGTACAATGTCCTTTCCGTTCAATTAAGATACAGAAGAGCATTGAATTGTGTTCTGTACATGCATATCAAACTGGTAGGAAGTGGGTATCTTGCTCAGTAAAATTGATTTAGTTTATACTACAGTATAAAATAACAAAACATGGATTTTTTTATTTAGAGAATTTTTTGTGTATGTATAGATATATATATTTATATATTATAAAATACAATATGTATTTATACAATCAAAGAATTGGAAAAAAACGAACAACTACGACAATTTGCATTTATATAGTGCCCTATCTCGCAGGGTAGTGTCTCGGGACTTTTAGCAGTGGCAGAGCTTGATGCCAAGCCCAGGAATGGGGGGAGGTGACTGTAGATGCGGTTGAAGAGGAAGGTCCTCAGGTGTAATCTGAACACAGGGCAACAATTCCTGCACAGTGAATTATGTGTTGACTAATGAGTCTGTATGATTAGTAATCTTGAAATATGCATATATTATACAAGATAGATTGTTGCTGTATTTGAAGGAACTAAGCTGAGCTAAGTTGGAGCAGGTCTAACTACTACAACAACAACTTGCACTTATATAGCGTCCTCCACACAGGGTAGAGTCTCAGAGTGGCAGAGCCTGACTCCAAGGAGTGGGGAGATGACCGTAAGCATAGTCAAAGAGGAAAGTTTTCAAGAGGAACTTGAAAGAGGGGGCAAGGAGGAGGGATTGAAGGAGAATGTTCCAGAGTTTGGGGGCGTAGTGTCTGAAAGCACGACCACCGATGGTGTAGCGGAGGGTGTGAGGGACGAGCAGGAGGCTGGTGCCAGTCAAACGGAGGTGCCAGTGGTGGATTGGGGCATGAGGAGGTCGGAGAGGTAGGGAGATGCCAGGGAGTGAATGGATTGAACCAGGGAGTGAAGGGAGCGGAGGGAATAACTACTAGAACCTGGTCATAAACTCTGCAACAAGGTTTGAAACATGGTTTTGTAATAGGTAGGTGCCCCCCCCTGCTCCGACCGCCTCCACTCCACTGCCCGCTGCTTCTGCTCAGGTGACTCCGGTTTCCTACACGATCCTTAACCAGCTATGCAGCTATGCCTTCAGCTACTATGCTCCTATGGAATTTTCTTCCTCAATCGGTCCACCTTGCCGCCTCGTTCCATGTCTTCAGATCACACCTGAAAACTTTCCTCTTTGACCATGGCTACAGTCACCAATTCACTCTCCCAAGTTGCTGTCAAGCTTCGCCACTGTTAAGCACTCCGAGACGATAACTTTCATGAAGGGTGCTATATAAATGCAAGTTGTTGTTTTATAAATTATGTCCATTTTCTTAGTAGAGAGCTACTGCAATTAAAAAAAAGTTTTAGATCTGTCTTGACCATGTCATAATATATTTTGTAGTTAGTCCTGCTGATCTACAATTATTTCACTGGTACCCCACTCAAGTGGACAATGTTCAGGTAGAAAACTATAGCCCCAACACCGCATAGGCAGGAGAGAAACTAGAACCAGCTCAAAATGATTTTACCTGCTGGAATTAAATGTTAAATGTAAATTGAACATAATGGCTGGATTGTACAATGGTGGGAGTGTGAAATATATATAACAGTAGTTCTCTACTAAGAAATATTTGGGGATGACAAGTTTTCAGGGCTGTGGGGAGAGAGCAGAGGAGTAGGATTGAATTGGATATCTCTTTTCAAAGAGCCGGCACAGACACGATGAGCCAAATGATCTCGTGTTGTATAATTCTATGATTCTATAATATATATTATATATAATATCACCCTTTTGAAGTTGATGTTTCTATGTAAGAAGAAAACAATTAGGGTATCTATGTTAGAAATAAACATCTACTTGATGACTATTCTTAAGAAGCACACACAATTTGTATGTGTTGAACTGAAAGAACAATAACTCTTTTTTATAATTTAGTGTCCAATTTTTCAAATTTCCTTTGCCCCTGGTCTGGCAGGGGTGAGGTTTCAAGGGTAATATTACAAACTAGTAACCCATTCAAGTGACCCTTGACAATGTTGGCAAGGTATTCAACTGTAAAGGGCATCAAAGCCAAGCCTGATATCTCCAACTGGCTGCTACACTCCCGCACAACAATAGAGGGATCTTGGCAGAGATCTGCAAACTAAGCACAGACTGTGATTTGAACCAGCAAATGTCTGGTCCATAAGATGCAGTTCTTTCAACAACACCATTAGAACTGCCCACAATGACTCACATTAAAATCTAACGAGTGACTGATCATGCAACACAAATAAATTAGCATTACACGCAATCATGAGATTGTTGAGCACCGCTGTAATGATTGCGAATCAGTCAGGTTACTGCGAAGAAAAAAGGTTTGCAGTGGATTTAAATAGTATTAGTATAAATGCATGTTAAATTTCATAGGTGTTATAGGTAATTGCAACTTGTCAGTAAGAGACACTGAAGAATAGTCCAGGTTAAACTGTGTATATTAATGGTGGAGTGTAAAACCAGGTGGCTCAGATATTCCAAACTTCTGTGATCATCTTACTTTGTTTTGTAGAAAGCAAACAAAATTACTCATTTGAATACTACAGAGGTATAATGTTTAGCTTTGACCATCACACTACTAAATTTAATTGTTTTTCATTAACAGTTCCTGCCAATCTATACACCTTCTGAAGAGGAGAAGAAAAACCCAATTTTGTACGCAAACAATGTTAGAAAGATCATGGCAAAGTAAGTGCAATGGCAGCTTATCAATGTGAAACCCAAAATATGCCACGAAAATAGAAAAATAAGTAGTTCACCAGACATTTTTCTCTTCTAGTTATTACTACTGTACTGCAATGTCTTCAGGCACATTTTTTACAAGAATTACAGTGTTTAATTTCATTAAATTGGAGTTGATGGCTGTTATATTGGAATAATTGGCATGTTATTTCCAATCTCAACAACTGATCTTGCAGTCACCTAAAAATTCCTGTTCATACTTGTCTGCTGGAGCCTGTGCCAAAAAGGAATAGGCATTTATAAAAGTAAAGGTTTTACCTGCGGCAACAGCAGCAACTGGCAACATCTGGCTGTTAGCATCTCTACTTGGCACATACTCTTTGTAGCCACAGACATTATATAAAACTAATATTAATCACCTTCACACACACTCTCTCTTCCCCCTCCCTCCCCCAACTCTATGCTTTTGTAAAGATTAGTTACTAGATTTCAGCTTCTTTAATACTGTTGTTCACTCAACAAGAACTTGCATTTGTATAGCGCCTCTCACGCACATTAGCATCCCAGAGAGCTTAAATGTCTTTCTTATGTGTATCTTATGTTGAATTTATATTACAGAGCCATAGAGATAGAAAATGAAGGCACTGATACTTTAGCTTGACTTCACTTTTCATCCGGGGTTTCTGTTTTTTATTCCATGAGAACAGAGGCATTTTTTCAATCTCCCAATATCAAAATAATGGTAACTGAGGCAGAAGATGTGCCATAATATGAAGCAATGTCTACTCCATGCTCTTTTCCCCATACATTGACCATTATTTAGGTAGTGTGATAATTGGAGAAATTTTTTGCCCAAAGATTAACACGATGCTACTTAAGCAATGGTCCCATACTCCCGCAATTATGCCATTCAGGCTGCCTGTGTGTAAATATAGTTTCACTCCGGTGCCAACCAACATTCATTATGACAAAAGAGGCATTGGAAGTGATTGATCATCAAAAATGTTCCAGTGAAATTCAGCCATTTTTCATTGTAGGTTTGTCAATGGTGATAAACGTATTTTTTAAAAATATGTACATAATGCCTTCCCTAAAATCTGCATATCTGATGCTTATATCTGAGTATTACCTTTATATCATGCATTTTACAATTTAAGACCTCTTTCTGGTATTTCACAATCTGTTAACGAACCATGAGATGCTGCTTTTTGCCAGCAGTTAAGTGTTTTTAAATTCTTCCCACATCTTTTTTTCTTGGCCTGTCCTACCTGCCCTCTTGAATCCTGTAGAAGGTCTTCCCCAGTTCATTTGAGTGCTGAAGAAGAGTTGTATCTAAAACATTAACTTGTCTTTTTCAAATGTGGGTTGGTCTGCTGCACGTATGTGCCATCTCTTTATTTCTAGCATCAACACTCCATTCTCCGATGTTCTTTGCTGGTCCATCTCCATTGCTCTGTTCTTTCCTGCTTCCACTCTAATCTATTGCAATGTCTTCACTACATCTAGCAGTTTCTCCTCTGGCCCTGCACAGTTACTTGCAGTGTTCCTCGATCTATCCTTGATCCTCTTTCACAAGTTTGTGGATGACACCCAACTGTACCTGTCTGCCTCCATCTGTGACTCAAGGACCACTGCTGTCCTGACATAATGTCTGTCAGGCATCATGCTTTGATTGAGCCTCAACATTTCCAACTAAATACCAATAAAACTGAAACGTGCGTAAACATAGGTTATCGAAAACTACTCAGCCCATATCCTTTCTCATGTATCACTCCTATCCTCGTCAAGCTCCATTGGCTCCCTATCACTAGCGGATTGACTTTGAGATCCTAATTCTAACTTTGAAATGCCCACCTTCCCTGTGAGCTCCTGTAGTCCTATTCTCCCACCCTCTCCCTTAGGTCTTCTTTCAACCCCCACGCCCCCCCACCGCCTCCCCACAAAATTCCATTTATGCTATGGCTCTCAATCAATCTTTGTAAAATCCTTGAATTTGTTAGCTACATGAAAAGTGTTGTTTAATCTGTTTATTTAGGGTTCTGGCCAACCCAATTGTTAGTCCCTTTTTTATTTTGTTTCATTTTATCTTAAATTTCTTATTTTTCTCCTTATAAAATCATTAAGTTTTTTCAAGAGATGACAGGCTGGAAATTATCAGCCGTTGGACAGTACTGTTCTGCATTCTGTGTAGCAGAGCATTTTCCCAAAGAGCCATGATTAACCTCTTGTTATCAGAGCTCCAATAGTTGTTTTAAACATCTGTCTGCCCTAACTTATGATATAGCATTTTTTTAATGGAGGAGGGATTCTGAATCAGTTCCCTATTTTTCATAAAACTAGTTTAAATTTAGCACATATTTGTATTGCCTTGAAATTTTGTGTAGAAAGTGTTCAGATGAATGTTCATATCAGATTGTCCACTTTTTACTTGATGTCCATGCATAGTAATGTGCAATAATTTTTGACCTGTATCTGATAGAGCCCTCGGTGTTCCTGTGACTGATTATACATTTGAAGATTGTCAACTTGTGATGTCTGACAGCCAGTTGAAGCTTCCTGTGGATACCTGCCTGCTAGAATTTGCAAAACTTGTCAGGAAACTCAAGTAAGTTCTACCTATTTTTCATTAAAACATTTCTTATATTTAATTAATAAACTGAAAGAAGGAAAACAACTTGAAAATAAATTGTGTCATTTTAGTTCCAGTCTTCTAGCCAATACTAAATGCAGCACGCCAGTATATCTGTTGGCCCATTGACAATTGTGAATTCACTAAGCGGATTGCTCTTTCAATGAATATAATAGATTTGTAATTCATTTTTTCAAAAAAGCATGCCGTAGCTTGCCACTGTTCATGTTTCAAACACATACTTGAATTGGAAGCATTTTTTCAGGCAAGAGAAATGTACTTTATAATTGGATATCATATTTGAATTCTGTTTACTTTGGAATTTAGCCTCAGACAAACATGCCCAACTAGTAAAATCTACAAAAGGCAGTTGGATGTCAGTGCATTTAATATTTCGCTATATAGTTCTACTATCTCAGCCACTGCCATAGTTCTTCTTTCTACATGGAGTCCTGTACCTCAGTGGTTAGAGCACTCGCCTTGCAAGTGAGACACCTGGGTTCAATTCCAGGCAGGGCGAAACCTTGGGCAAGTTTCCTTACTCCACACTCCTAATAATAATCCCTCCAAAACACAAAACAATAATAAATTGGTCATTTTCAATCCACGACTGTTTGTGGGACACTGCTGTGCGCAATTGGCTGCCGCGTTTCACCCACAAATATACAGTTAATTCACTTTACAGTATATTCTGTAAAGCGCTTTGAGACGTCTAGAAGAGGTGAAAAGCGCTATATCAAATGCAAGGATTATTACCTTAATTTAATACATCGCCTAATCACATCATCAGAGTCTCAAAGCACTTCATAGAGTTATCTGTGAAGTGTGATGACTTGATGATTTATAGATTAACGTGGAAGCCAATTTTTTACACTGCAATGTCCCACAAACAGGCATCAAGTGAACTACAATCTTTTGTAATCTGAGGGATCGTTGTCCAGTTTATCGGGAGGATCTCTTCTTTTCAAACAGTTCCATGGGATCTTTATCACCTGACCATCAGCACAGGCACAATAAAAGCCTAGACTATGAGCTCAGACTCCCAACATAGGGCTTGAACCTAATAAGTCTGAAATCAAAGTCTTAATCTTATTAATAAATAGAGAATAGTTTTCTTTATGTGACAACATTCTTATTTTATAGGAACACATTTTCTTCACTTGTACATTTTGTTAATTTGCTCCTGTTTTTGTTAGTTATTAGTTTGCAAAACCATACAACTTCAAAATCTAAAGTCTTTCATATTCAGAAATGGCCTCAATAATGAGTAATTTGTGAAAGCTTACCCTTTTTAGGGCAATTGTGATATTAAAGGGCTATCTGTGAAAACATTTACAACATGAATTTTGAGGTTAGATGAAGCTAAAGGGGTATTATTGTAAATCACTAAACATTAATCCAGATGTTTTGATTTATTTCCCAGTCTTGTTTTGCTGAGGTAGAGATTAGAACTCAATTGATCATTAATCAACCAGTTGAAAAATGGATTTGATAGTTCACCATTAAATTTGATGGGTGTCAGCTTGGCTTGGTATACGAATGCTATCAACTGCCCAAGCATAAGTCCACAAATAGACTTGAGCTCACTATCTACGCTAACACTCCAGTGCATATTGGCAGAGTGCTGCATTGTTGAAGGTGCGGTTCTTGGAATAAGATAATAAACTGAATTGTGTCCATCTCTTCAAGTGGATGTTAAAGATCCCACAACATGCCCTATTCAAAGAGAAGGGAGTTTCTCCTAGTGTTCTAACAATCTTGAGCTAAATTGGTCATTCGCCTCATGACTGCTTGGGAGCTTGCTATGCACAAAATGACTAATGCATTTGCCTGCAAAAGCCTTATGCTTTCCTACAAAATTGGATAGTAATTACTGGAAGCATTTTAAGGCTTCAATGTGATCGAGCAACACAGTTCTTTTGATATGTGGTGCAATAGTTTTTTTTGGAATAAATGTATAAATACAATGTATCCCATTGGAAATCTGAAAATGGATAGTGTTTGTGAGTCACAAGCAAGTGCTTATTGCACATTATGCGCAGAAGCGACACTGACATCACTTCCTGTGCTTTGCAAATATGCTTGGAAGCAGGTAGTGACATCAGCAACCTCCGGAGATGGTGACCGGTGGCCATTTTTACACATCTCCTTATACTATGAGGTCTGAATTTATGAACCCAAGCTACCATGTTATAACAGGTGTTTCCATATGTGCAAATATGTATGTCACTTAGCTGTAAAGAATCTAATTTGTTCCATCAAAAGTAATATTTGGGATTGTTTTGCTATGTTGATTTAACTGTGCACTTGAAACCAATACAACTCCAACTGAGAAGAGATGCTGGACTTCCTCAAGATCAAAATCGAGGGGATCCGCTCAGCCGCCCACCTCTACCCCTACAACTGCTACCCCCTCCCCACCTCTCCCTCACACTCTGCCTCCACACCTTCGAACCTGTCTCCCCTCCTCTCTCACGATCATTATGACCCATATGATACCCTCCACCCGCTCGCTTGTCCCCATTCCTACCCCTCTCCTTATCTCCCAGCTCCACCTCCTTGCCCCTCTATTCACAGATATTATCAACCTCTCCTTGTCCACTGGCATCATTTCCACCACCTTAAAAAACAGACATCATAACAACAACAATATATAGCGCCCTCCACGCTGGACGGCATCCCAGAGCGCTTCAAATCATCACTCCTATTCTTAAAAAAACCTTTCCTTGACCCATCCCTGCTCTCCAGCTTTCGCCCTATCTCCAACCTCCCTTTCCTTTTCAAGATCCTTAAACAAGTCATTGCTTCCCAGCTTCATTCCTTCCTCTCCTGCCACTCCCTATACAAACTCCTCCAATCGGGTTCCAATCAACAGCCTTGGTCAAAGTGACAAATGATATTTTGTCCATCTTGACCAGGGCTCCCTCTGTATCCTCATCCTCCTTGACCTCTCCGCTACCATTGATACCATTGTGGAGTCCTGTAGCTCAGTGGTTAGGGCACTCGCTTTGCAAGCGAGAGACCTGAGTTCAATTCCAGGCAGGGCGAAACCTTGGGCAAGTTTCCTTACTCCACACGCCTAATAATAATCCCTCCAAAAACAATAATATTAAATTGGTCATTTTCAATCCACGACTGTTTGTGGGACATTGCTGTGCGCAATTGGCTGCCGCGTTCGCCCACAAATATACAGTCAATTCACTTTACAGTGTGTTCTGTGAAGCGCTTTGGGACGTCCTCCCGACATGAAAAGCGCTATATCAAATGTAAGGATTATTATTATTATTATTATTATTGACCACTCTATCCTCCGCCACCACCTTCCTCTCACTTCAACCTTCATGGTCTTCGACTGGTTGAGATCCTACCTTTCACACCATCTCCACTTTGTCTCCACAAATTGCTTCTCCTCTAGCCCCCGCACCATCCCATGCAGTGTTCCTCAAGGCTCTGTCTTTCGTCCTCTCATCTTCAACATGTACCTGCTCCCTCTTGGTGACATCATCTGCAGACATGGGGTCAATTTCCATATGTATGCGGATGACACCCAACTTATCTCTCTGCCTCCATCCTCGCCTCCAGGACCACTGCTGTCCTGACAGAATCTCTGTCAGACATCAAGTCCTGGATGAGAGCTAACTCTCTACAGTTGAATGTCAACAAGACCGAGGCTCTCCTGATTGGTTCCTATCAGTGTCTCCACACCTCAGGCACTGACAGCATCACCGCCCATGGTGCTCACTCCACCTTACTAAGCCGGTCCGGAACCTTGGCAACTTGTTTGACCCTCAACTATACTTTCTTCCCCATATCCGTGCCATGTCCCGCTCTGCCTTCCCCCACCTCCTCATCATCACCCGGCTCCACCACTGTCTCACACCGCAGGCCGCCGAGACCCTCATCCATACATTTATTACATCTGGGGTCGACTACCCCAACTCCCTGCTTGTCGGCCTTCCTAACTCTTCCTCCACAAGCTGCAGATCATCCAGAACTCTGCAGCTTATGTCCTCTCCTGCACCAGGCTCTGTGACCCCATCACCCCACCCTCACCCGGCTCCACTGGCTCCCCTTCACCCAGAGGATAGAGTTGAAAATCCTCGTCCTCACCTTCAAAGCCCAACACGGCCTTGCTCCTTCCTATGTCTGACCTGCTAATGCCATATCAACCTCTCCACTCAGCAGGCTCCGGTCAGCTCCACGTTCCCCACCCAGCCCCACCATCGACAGTCAGGCCTTCAGCCTTTTTGCCACCACCCTTTGGAACTTTTGCCACAGCCCCTTTGCCTTGTTCCCTCCCTTGCCTCCTTCAAGGCATATCTCAAGACCCTCCTCTTCGACCACCCTCATAGCCCTGCCCTCTACCCCTCCTGATCCCAACCCCCTGATCGGGTCCAAATCCAAATCACTGACTGTCTAGCGCCTTGAGACGTTGTCTCAACATGAAAGGCTCTACACAATGTCATTTGTTGTTGTTGTTGTAGTACCTAACCAACAGATGTTGACACATTTAATATTAAAAATGCTAACAACATTTTGCTCTTTACTAAATAATAAATGCTTGTGTTTGATAAACTATTTGTATGAATGAGGCATTGAAAAGGTTCCATTATTAGTTTGACAGTTATTTTGATCAACTACTTGGACAGTTTGCCTTATTTGTAATCTCCTATTTTAGTTGTTTCATTCAGCTTCCATAAACAGTGGTGATACAATGTCTACTTCTGTGAAGATTTGTCATGTGCAACAAAAATGTAGCATTTATTTTGGCATTATCCCATCAACTCTCTGATTGGGCTACAATGTGTATATGTAAAACCAGAGACAGCATATCTGTTTCCTCAAACATTTGCAGTTAGTGTTAAGTTGTTCCTCAGATACTTTTTATAATTTGCATTGTGCCATCTGCTGGGCAATTCTGCTACTGCTAGTAATTCTAATTTGTGCAGAAATGTACACTGTATTGCAATTCAATTAAGATATTGCACAAAAACGTGTTCCTGAACATATGGAAAAATGCACCTGTTGCAGTTAAGGGCACAAAAAGGCAAATCAACTGCTGAACGTAATAATAATGTTTGGTGAAACCCTTTGGTTAAAAAACCCTTTCTAGTTGAAAATGTAATAAATGTCATGTTATGGTAAAGCTACAGTAGAGCTAGAGCTCACGTTTTACTTTTCCAGCTATAGAATGAAATATCTAAAAGCTGTACAGTGAAATGATTAAACATTTTGAAATCTTTCTAAAACACTGTAAAATTGTATACATCAATTGAAGTTTGGGACCTCCTCCTGATGTAAAAGGCGCTATACAAATGTAATTTGTCGTTATTGTTGAAGTTGTGTATCTCTTGTGTTTAGCATATACTTTTTAAAAATATTCCATAAGTAAATCATCGCACTGAAATGTAAATGGTTCCCACTGTGCCTTTATATAAACAAAAATGATCCTGGAGGTGGGAACCTGTTAATCTCAAATATATATAGTTCTCTATTTGCCTGTACATCATTTTAAACATCTGAATGTTTTCTCCAATTGAAACAAGTTCAGCTCTGGGAACCTTGCCTCATAATCCACAAATCATTATCTTTTTCTTTTCTGAATGTACTTTTGTAGCATGCTGAATAATGTACAAAACATACAAACATTTTGTTGCATAAACACGGCGTGTTGCACTACAATATGGAGATGAAGAATATTGTTTGTCAAAGGGACTTTGAGAAAGAAATCTTGTTTGAAGGAGCTAGAAGGATGCACGGGAAGTAATGATTCTGTGATACTAAACTGCGAGAGGAAATCTTAAAGCCCATGTTATTTCAAATGTCAGGAGTCTATAACCGATTCCAATACAATTGTTTTTCATTATAATAAGGAAAAGTGAAACGAAAGCAGTATTGAGTGTATACATATTTCTATGCTTTAAACCAACATTTAGGCAACTTAAAGAATGTAATACTGTTAATTCAGATCACATCAATTATGTTAATTTAATTTATAAATAATTTGTAACATTTGTTTTATAACTCCAGTGCCATAAATGTGTGTTGCGCTCGCAAATTCCCATGGTTACAGTGTTCAAATGTGTAGAACATGTTTTCTTTTCTGTGAGCACAGTGATGAGGAGTTTGAAAACATTTTAAATTGGGGGAAGAAGAAATTGGTTGATTCTGAGAGTTTTTACACTGTTGTTTGCCTCTTGAAATGGGGTTCATCAGGGTTTGGGATGAATAATGAAACCAAGGTTTAGTTAATGAGTTTTCAGTTTCCTTCAAAACAGGAAGGGAGTTTCTCGTGAGTCCTAGGCAGTAATCCTCCAGATACATTTTGTAGACACATATGCTTTCAAAAACAGTCATTGTGCTCAACAGTAATGACTTGCAAAATGCTTGAAGATGTTTTCATGTGATGGTAGCACAATTAAAACATTTTTTTAAATTCTCCCTTTAAAATCCAGCGCAGACATAAATCCATTACCTTTCTTGGTTATAATAATTATGCTTCCGTATTTGGACACATTCAGCTCAGTTCCACCTAGGCTAAAACATTACACTTTTAATTTGCTGTAAAGTGGTGGTTTCAGAGGCTACAAGAATGATTAATATGGGAATTGAAAAGTATCTGGTGAAGTGAGTAATTCTGCTCTGACACTGTTAATTAAGGAAGTGAGTTGGGGCAAACTATAGTGAACCTAATTGGCTTGGGAGACAAATGTGTGACTAAAATAGAAAAGAAAGTTGCACAGTTATACTGTTGAAAGTTGTACTGATCAGCGTGAAGCTTTTTTATGAGGTAACAATCACATTTGAAATCTTTCCATCGGCAAATTTGAAAGAGGGTCTGTTAGGAAGTTGTGTGAAATCGTCATGTAAACTAATGACTTTTGGGTTAAGTCGTGAATTTATTATGAAGTAAGTGATGGTAAAGCATTGTCTTTGTCTGAATCTTTCATCATACAGAACACATGGCACACACAAAATATTTGTTCAATTTCAGTAGAAAACAAAAGCATCCATGAAGAGAAAATCCAATTTAAGTAAAAATTCTTAGTATTAAATGTGTGCACAAATGACATTTACACACACACACACATCACATTGAAATATTAAAAAAATTGTGACATGCAAAACTGACCTTGTTGTATCTTAAAATCAGTCATCTGCAATTCTGCCTCAGAATTATCTCTAACATTAATATCTAGCACTGTTATGGTTTATGTAAGATATGCATCTATATTTACAGTTTAAAGCCTGAGAAAGTTGAAAAGGAACTTGATGAACTTGCAGAAGGCGCCAAAAAGACTAAAGGGAAACGGATGAATCTGGAGGAGTTTGCTGATTATTTGAAGCTGCCAATTTGTGATGCATTAACAGATGTCTTTGTACTTTTTGATGAGGTAAAATTATCCATACACAAACATAATTTTAAGTGCATGACGTGTACTTGTTTGTTGCAAATATTTAGTCTGGGTGACAATAAGGCAAAATTAATGTGCTCATAATTTACAATTTGCTATACTAGGTACCATTCTATATTTTTCACCTTTTTATTGTTTTAAAACCCAACCACTCACTCCATTTTCCTGGGCAGTACTCCATAATTCACCAAAAAAACAAATATGCAACATTTAATCATGTTGCTCTGTATCTGCCGAGTTGATGAGTATAAGCTTGGGTGGTTCTCTGCCTCAGATTGATCTCCCTTCAGTGGCTTTTGTTGGTCAGCTGGGTGTCTGACATATGCGGAAAGCCATCATCATGCTTAAGAGTATCCAAACCAAACTGAGAATCCATGCATCCCACCTACACATGGAAATTCCAGAGATATTTATTGGACTGGAATGTGCACTCTCTCCCTGGAGGGACGCATACTGCTTTACCTAATTCCAGAAAGTATTAGGTGCAGGTTGGCAAGAGCCATGGCTTGGGGTCCCTAGAATGTGCGTTGGGGTAATGCTGGAGTCCAACTGGCTAAACAAAACGCATAGTTTGCCATTGATATTGCTGTCTGGTAAGCTTTCCCGCTGTTTGTCCAGCTGGAACTGACTAGTTAGCTTACTGTGTTTAAAAAAAGGCTGACTTACAAGTTGTCAGGTTGCAGCTGATGTCCATTCCTGCACAGCTGCACAGGAAGCACCAATGTCACTTTTTGAAGGAAGACCTGATGATCCAGGAGTTGGCTTTTTTTGTGGTTTTTGGTTATAATGCTGGTCCTGAGAGATTGCACCCAGTTGACCATGTTATAACAGGGTTACCCTTTCCTGACCAGTTCAGCAAAATGCACATCTGTTTACACATAAAACTTCACTCAGCAAATGCACTGGTTAGCAATTTATAAGAGTTGCAGATTAGTTGACTTTTAATTTCAGTGGCAGAGTTCTGCCATCTGTTTTGCCCCAGTTTCAGTATAAACTTTCAAATATATGCTGGACTCAGAATAAACTGGATTATTGCTGATAGAAACAATAAATACATTTTAAATTATTTAGGCTGTGTGCATTGATGAGCTTTCAAGTAGTTTTTCAAAAAGCTTCAGGAAGGAGACCCTAAAAAGTTAATACTTTTACATGACCATCATCCAGTATCAAGGTAATGTAATGAACTGTTAGATCTATGTTGTCTTTGCTGCCACATCAGAAAAGAAAAACAGAATATAGTGCCCTTTCTGCACTATAAACAAAATCCCTTCAAATTGTAATCTAATCTAAGCATTCAGGTGACTATTATAAACTGCTCAGTTTCAAAAAAGATATTGAATTGGTGGAGTACAGTGGAGGGCTGAATTCAGGGGACTGAACTAAGAGGCAGGATCGGTCATTTTAGGACTTTTGTCTCTTGAAAAGAGGAGATTGAGGACAGGAACTTGATATACAGGTATTGTAACATTATGATGGATTTAAAAAGATACATTTTTCTGACAGTTTCTGACAAGATTCAGATACAAGGGTCATAGCTTAAAAAGATGGACACAAGAAAACAAATAGGAAATGCAGGAGACTTGTTAAAATGATAGGCATTTGAAACAAAGTGCCAACTCGGATAATTGAACAAAGAACTATTAAATTCTTGAATCTTAATGGGATTCACGGGTATTAGATGATGAAGTTAATGTGTTAAGTGGAATGGGTGGGCTGGATAGACTGAAAGCCTGAACCTTCCTGAAGCTGTAAATATGTTACACTAATTTTACAACATCCTTTAAACTTCAATCATATGGAAATATTTTAGTTACAGTAAAAAAAAGCACTGTTTAACAGGCTCACAAACTTGTGGGTTCTTTAGGACTTGGTTTACTTTTCTACAAACTAGATAGTGTTATATGATATTTTTTAAAATGTCAATAATACAGTGCATTATCATTTTAAAAAAAGATAAATTGAAAATACGCGATTAACCGAAGCTTGGGGTTTAGAAGTCTTGAGTTCAATAAACTTAGGATCGTGGGAAAGAATATGTTGGAGAAAGGAATGGAGTGATTTACAATGTGTTGATGCAGCTATAAGAAAGAACATGTCATTTCAACGTATTTCAGTTCAAAGAGTGTTAGAAGGGCCTCCCCAGATATGGCTGAAGTATTTTTGGGGGTCAGCTGGGTGTCTGATGTATGCAAAGTTGGGAAGGCGAACAAGCAGGGAGTTGGCGTAGTCGAGCCTAGATGTGATGAGTGTGTGGATGAGGGTTTTGGCGGCCTGAGGGGTGGGGCAGTGACGGAACGGGGCGATGTTGCGGAGGTTAAGGAAGGCAAAGTGGGTAAAGTCCTGTGGAGTCCTGTAGCTCAGTGGTTAGAGCACTCGCTTTGCAAGTGAGAGACCCGAGTTCAATTCCAGGCAGGGCGAAACCTTGGGCAAGTTTCCTTACTCCACACAGAGCCTAATAATAATCCCTCCAAAACCAAAAACAATAATAAATTGGTCATTTTCAATCTACGACTGTTTGCGGGACATTGCTGTGCGCAATTGGCTGCCGCGTTCGCCCACAAATATACAGTCAATTCACTTTACAGTGTGTTCTGTGAAGCGCTTTGGGACGTCCTCCCGATCTGAAAAGCGCTATATCAAATGCAAGGATTATTAAAGGCACGGATGTGGGATGGAAAGGACAGTTGAGGATCAAGCGAGACTCCAAGGTTCCAGACTAGTTCAGTGAGGTGGGGTGTGCAGCCTTGGATGGTGATGCTGCCAGTGCCTAAGGGTGAAGGTGCTTACGGGAGCCAATCAGGAGAGCCTTGCTCTTGTTGACATTCGACTGAACTTTCTAAGCATTCATCCAGGACTTGATGTCTGACAGACATTCTGTCAGGACAGCATTGGTCCTGGAGTCAACAGAGAGATAGAGTTGGGTGTCGTCCACATACATGTGGAAGTTGACCCCATGTCTGCAGATGATACCACCAAGAGGGAGCATGTACATTAGGTGCAAGAGCCAAGACTTGGGGATCCCAGAGTGTGCATTGGGTTATTAGGCTTTCCCACTGCTTGTCCAACTAGGACCATCCTACCCATTAGGGTATTGGCTTGCAGGGAGCTAAGTAGAAAGAGTCCCTGGCCCCAATGACTGGTCTACCCTTCCAAGTCGCCAATGAGCCAGGCTAGCTGTGCATTCATCAGCAGGACCCCAGAATACTGCAGCTCTGCCTAGTTTCAGGAACTGGACTACTGAGACTGCCAAAGCGGGTAGGCTCAGCTCCAAGAAGACCCTGGCAAGGTGGATCGTAGGTACCTGTGAGCTTCAAGGTGGGCAACACAGTTCAGCATGAAATGTGTGAGAGCATTGCCAGTATCCTCCTGTTCACAGTTGGACACACATCCCTTCCTATTGAGCAATGGTTCCACCAGTTGGAGATGTGGAGATTAAGCAGCAACTTGTTATCTTTCTGCAAGCCAATCAATTACACCTCCTGTAAAGGTGCTACTTAGGCATTCTGAGTTTATGTTCTGCAGATTGAAGTATCACTACTATCTGTATAGATTTGTGATGTATGTTGCATTTTAATACATTTTGTGTTCTTGTTTGCAGAATGAAGATGGAACAATTGATATTCGAGAGTATGTGATTGCTTTGTCTGTAGTAACAAGACCATCTAAAACTCATGAAACTATCAAATTGGCATTTAAGGTAAGAAATTGTTAAAAGTACAATCACAAATACAGTAAGGCTGTGAATGATGTGCGGTAAATGGATAATATGTCGATTTCTTCACAAAAACTATCCCCTTTACCTCAGTTCTGTAGCTCAGTGGTTAGAGCACTCATCTCGCAAGCTAGAGGACCTGGGTTTGATTCCCAGGTAGGGCGAAATGTTACTCGATTGGTGGATTGCTTTTCCGTGGGTAATAATCCTTTTTTAAAAAATATATATAATAATTTGGTCACTCAATCCACAATTGCTTGTGAGACACTGCTGTGCGCAATTGGCAGCTGCGTTTTGCCCACAAATATACAGTCAATTCACTTTACAGTATATTCTGTGAAGCGCTTGAGATGTCTTGAAGACATGATATATCAAAATGCAAGTATTATTATTAGATCATAAAATACTTCATCACCAAAACAATTCTTTATCTAGCAAGAACTGGTGTACAATACTAAGCAGAGAAAGGTCAAATATGAAAAATCTGGGCAAAGATAAGACAGATAGATGCTTGGTTGCCTTTTGCAAAGAATTCACAGAATAAATTTCAATTCTGAAAACTTGATCAAATCACCTTTAAGTAGAGCAAACCCCTGGCTTATCAGACTCCAGGTCCACAATTCAAACCTAGCCAAACGGGCCCAAAACCTAACTTTTTTTTAATTCTTCTGGGAAAAGATATCCTCACCCTGCATGTAGACTCCCAACTCTGCTAGCAAGTGCCAATGCCACACTGAGCAGCCTCACCATCCTTGCTGGCCGGTACCAGCGTTCTGATTGCACTTAGCCGGAAATTCTGGCTCGCTGGCCCCCATTCTTCTGACTAGTCGGGGTTTAAGTATACTTTCAATCTATCACTGCAACTTTTCATATTTTATTTATGCTTTCCATTATTCTGTAAGATCCAGTCTACATGTTAACAATTATCAACTCTGTGAGAGGCGGCTCACTACAAACAAGCCATCCTATGTTCTTGGGGACTACAATTAAATAAGTTCCTTGATGGCAATTCACTTAGGTTGCATATTTTCAACTAGTCCTCCACTTTGAATAAACAAGCTTTAAGAAAAACTGTTGAGTATCATTTATTGCTATTTCCTAAGAAGCTTGTTGATATGCTTCCTGTTATGATTTTAATTTCCCTGGTTGATTTAGCTGTAAGGAAAGATTTTACTCCAGGGCACTGCTGATGACAACCCAACCAGACTGGCTCATCCACAGGACTTGGAGGGGCAGACCAGTCACAGAGAGCAGGGATTCTTCCCACTTGCCTCCTATTAGCCCTGTAGGCCAAAGCCCTAATGGTCCTAGGTGGACAAGCAGTGGGAAAACTTGCCAGATAGCATTCTCAATAGCAAACTATGCAGTTGAATTCCAGTAATGGTGCTGCTATCCTTGAGATGAGACCTTAAACCAAGCTCCAGTCTGCACATGAAGTATTCTGCATTATATTCAAAAATAATTTCTCCCAAACCACTCTGATTAGAGAATTCATGATCAGGAAATGCTGGTGTTGACAGTTAAATGGTTTAGCATTCCTAACTGTCCCCTGCTTTCCTGAAAGTTGCCTTGTGTCTAGATTGTTTAAAATAACTTCTTATGGGTCATTTGTTCAAATGTCTTAGAAAGGTTAATATTTTTTGCATTACTACTCACTATCACTTGTCAGTAGCCTTGGTATTTACTTATATGTTCTACTCAATACATGAAGTGCAGATAAGTTAAATTTTTGACCCTTAGAGCATTATTTTAATGTTCCTTTATCTGGTTACGATCTCGCTCTCTGGCCGCTCAAAACCCGTAATTGAGTTCTTTCTCTTCTGCTTCCCTCCAATTCCCAGTTTCAGCAATTTATTCCTGTTAATCTTTGACCTTTTAGCTTTTGATTCACAGAAAACTGTTCTGTCGTGTTAGATATGAGATAATAAAAATATTTATTACCACTTCCTAAAATGTACATTAGGAATTGGAATAAAGAAAGAGAAATTAAGGGCAACAGCAACAATTTTACATTTAAATAGCACCTTTCACATAGGGAGTGCTTGATAGACTAGGCTTCACACTTGAGAGGAACTGCAGATGGGCGGGGTGGGGGGGCGCAAGATGATTGACTACATGGTCAAATAGGAAGGTCTTCAGGTGGATCTTGCAAGAGCCAAGGGAGGGAGTGGGTCGAAGGGGGAGTGGGTTGGGGTAGGGCAGAGCAGATGAAATGGAGCAGGCCAGTGCTTGTTGAGCCGAGGGAGTGGCTGGGTTGGTACGGTAAACAAAGTTGTTTATTTTTATAAATCAAATATATCATTTTTGTAAATTTTTCAAAATCAAGAGGAGGCACAAAGAGAATGAGGAAAAAGTGATCATTGAGGGTGATTGCTGCTAAAGGTTTCAAATGTTCCTATTTCAATATGTGTATTTTAGTAAATTATTACATTAATAAAGACACTGCCAAAATTTAGGTAACTTTATTGCTAACAATCGTATATTTTTCAGCATCAGTTCATGAGCTAATACCAGGGAGAAATACACTCAACAACTGGAATTTGCATAGACTTGCTGGCAATTTTATTATTATTGTTGGTATTTTCTCACACCCATGCAATTCTTTGTTTTTGATACTTAGTTTTCTCACTTTACTGCCAATAGGATTGTCATTAAAGGCTACACATTGTTCAGTCTCAAATCTTGGACAGAACCGTTCTATGAATGAGCACTGATTGAATTAGGAGCATGACTGGTGTACAGAGGTGAAGGGTAATGCAAAATCACATTAAAGTGCAAAGGAAGGACCACAAAGCACTGGGATGAAATAAAGCTGAAAGAGGTCAGCTGTCCCATAAATCAATCATAGAACTGGTGCATAAATCTAGAACTACTTAAAATTGTTCCTTCACTGATCTTGCTCCTTCAGAAATCTTGGTTTTCATACAAAACCTTTTAGACTATTTAGATGTAATGTTGCATTTCAAATTTGTTATCAGGCAAAATGTGATATTGTTTTAACAGATTTATGAGTCAGCTGAAGCAACTATAGTGGAAGATGATCTAGCCTGCATTTTGAAGACTGCCTTAGGTGTGAATAAACTGGATGTGTCCAAATTATTCAACGCCATTGATGTTAACGAGAAGGAAAAGATCACTCACAGTATGTATCACTTTCACATGACTAGCAACCAGGAATAATGTGTTAACTACAGTGAAATCACAACAAACTTAGTCCTGGTACAAACGATTTCTTTCAAAGTATATGAGTAATTTGTTGCTAAATTCTAATGTCTTCCCAATTTATTGGTGGAGCAGCCCTACTCTGTATAAACCTGATTATAAAGTACTTTATTTTCAAATTTTGTCCCAATCACCTGAATTTTTAAAAACGATTAATTTAGATTCAACTTATCTTGACATTTCTAAGATGAATTCTTGCATTGTGAAATAATTACTATTTTTTAAATGGTTTTATTCTAACAAATATCATAACTCATAGATTTTTCCTAACTTTCATATTATTTGTGAATCATGAATGGTGCCACAGGCCATTTTTGAAGCTGGGTTTTAGTATAATTAGTTACAATTTGTCAGAATCAATTACACCCTTTTTAAAAATAAAATAGTAAACTCCAACATTGACCAAAGTGAATAGATGTTCTTGCTGATCTCCCTCTGTTTAATAATTTACACGTATCGTGATATTGAACCTGTTGTACTTGCCTTTTATGTACTCAATTGGCCTTCATAATGAAGCATTTGCTGCACTATGGACTTTTTTATTTTAAAAAAACTGTCCTCGCATTCTTTTGTCTGCATTATCATTCAAAAGAGAAAGGGAGAACTGCACAAAAAGATTGGTGCTTTTTTAACAAATATAATCTGCTCTTCATGTGTCTTCATTTTTCCAACTTTAGTGGACTTCTACGAGTTTGCTTGCATGAATCCTACTTACGCTGAGCAGTACCTTTACCCAGACCAGACAATGGGTTTCACTGGCTGCGTGAAAAAGCAGTTTGCCACGACTGCTAATGGATTTTGCATGGACTTCTCACCTGAGGACCAAGAAGAGGAAAGAGAAAGGAGTACGTTGGACAAAAAGCTTAACTAGCCGCTTAGGGATCATCCCTCTCCTGGTGAGAGGGATAGGCCAATGTTAGGGCACTACATGTTACTTAACCTGAGTAAATGTCCTTGTCCTTTCCCGTGTGAACTTACTGCCATTTTTTCTGTATATTTATCATCTCTCAAATAATATCTATATGTTGAGCTTGGGATAGTCTGTTTTTGAAAAAAAAAGTTTATTTTTTTTTAAATGTATCAGAAGCCAAGGTTGTGAAGATGCTTATTATTTGTTAACTGTACTTGAAGGGAACCAAGCACTTATTCAGTTCCATTGTCGCATTATAATCTGTGTTATGGTGACTGTGCATGTTTATAACTTGTAGCTGTAATTGTGGTAGTATGTTTTGTTTTAGTGCTTTTATTCATTTGTTAACGTGTTTATTTTGTGTATGCTTAATTTTAACTACAAAGCAGCTTTTGGGGGAAAAATGTTTGCAGAAGATAGCGTTTTCCCAACAGTGTTATGATATAACAAATTCTTTTGGTTGTGGTGCATTTCGTTATACAGTGATGGGCTTTCTGGGATACATTGGTGTATTTAACTTTGTTTTTAAGTACTGAATGAAACACCAGGACTCAAGTTTGCCTATTTATTCCTTCATCATAACTAAATCATAAGGAAAATTATTTCTGGTATGACTGAAGAATAAAGAACATGTACAAATGTGAGGGAATGCACCATTCTTCAGGTTAATGTGCGATTATTTTTCTAATTGAAGTTTCTCGGTGCTCCTGGGATTATCTCATTATTCAGTTTGGGGATGGGGTTAATGCCCTTATTGCTATTTTTAATATAGCAATAAAGATGGTTTAATTATATTCAGACCTAATTAATCTCTTTTTGATCCATGAATTTTATGGGTTTAGTCAATTTGGTAACAAAACGTATTACCTAATGTACAGCACACGACTTGAGAGTAATTAAAGAATTTAAGAAAAAGGCAAGGAAGTTAGTCTGACTAGGCTATTAAGTAGACAACCTTAACATACAAAACTAGTCAGTAATTTGAATTAGACAATTTTGTAAGCCAAAGGCACATACAATTTACTTACCTTCAGTATATGAAAATATTCATCTCCATGAGGTGCTTTGCCTTTTTTGGGGTTTATGGCAGGAGAAAGTTCCTGGAACTATTCTTGTTTATTGCTAACTAAGAATATCATAGAAAATCTTCACATTCCAACTCAGCTGTGGGCCTCCTATGTTTGGGATTTACCAATAATAATGGAGGCTGTATAAATTAATACTTTTTACATTTTTTAAAAGTTATGTCGTGAGAATAGAAGAATGAAAACCAGAAACGGAGGGTAAACTGATGGCAACTTAAATTTATCTGAAAATAAGAAATATTTCAACACAAAACTTTTAAGTAAAACACCTTGAGGATGAACATTACAGAACAACAAAAAGTGGAAAACTTGCACATTAAAATAAGGAGAAAAGGGGGGAAAGATACACATTCCGCAGAAAATTAGCTGCAATTTCTGACTTTATATGGTACTGTGGCAGTACTCTGGTCAGTGCTGATGAACACTGGGATCAATGAGCATTAATGTCACCTGCAGAAAAGTTTCAAGTTTAAACCTTGATTTTTAAAAGCATTTTATGCTCTGCACCACTGAAGTGCTTGTGAGTATCTGGTCCATGACCATACTGGTGACTCCTTTAGCTCAGGGATTACGCTTTTGCACCAGAGGTGGATGACCTTTTCCTATTTGCCCCTTTCCCCTTCCTGTGGCACCAGCAGGGAAAAATCATTACACCAAGTCTGCATTATATTTGTTATATGGGTGCCAACTAAGTTACTGGCTGCCTTTGGAAGCCCTGGTGTTAGATCCTTACTGCTATCACGTGAAGTGAAAAGCTCTACTCTCGAATGTTGTTGCTGGAAATTAGGCCCAGGTTTGCCTCTCCAGCAATAATGTGTTTCTCCATCAGGTGGCAGAGTGACCATAGGCCCAAATGGAGAAAATTGCTACAGAGCCTCCTGGTTCCATCATCACCAGCATTTGCTTCAGTAGATTGATAACATTTGGAAGTGGTCTGGGGAGGGGAAAAAGGGGAGAATTTATAAATTCATAAAAGGTTGTTTCAACATTTATAGTGTTGTGCTGGTTTTGCATTATAGCATGTAAAATTAAAAAGGTGCAAGGTGTCTCCCTAGTTTTATTTTCTTGGGGCTATTGATATCACATTCATATTTGATTTCTTTATTTCTGGACAGATCCCTCCATTGTCACTTCACATCACAGAGAAAATAGTTTATTATATGTGGAGTGTTATTTTCATATAATGAACCTCCATAATTAATTGTATGTGCTCTTAAGATATTGCTGCACAGTACTGTGTTTTGGTGCATTTTTATATTGTGGGAAGATGGCACGGTAATTGTCCCCAAACCTAAAATCTACCAAAGCATTATACAGTGCAGTGATCTATTCGATCCCTGTTATCTGGATAATGATGTGTAGTAATGGGATTCCCAAGATCACCGAATGGGAGACCTACAGTTCAACATATATGGTCTAAGCAGTCTAACCTCTCATATCTCAGTCAGTTATAAAAGTATAATAACTGAGTTGTGAGTAAGAGAGTTAACCAAAAGCTGTATTGAACACTGAAGCTTGTAATTTATTACTGAAAGTAACACTGCGTTTTCAATCCTGAGTAATTCCACAAATTTCTTATTCAAAGTTAATTGGTAAAGAGGTGTGTGTTGGAAATAACACATCTTGACACAAAGCTTGATCTTGCTTTTTTTTGGTGAACTGATGTTGGATGATATGAAGCATTAATTGATGATGAACATCCCACAGTGTTGATATAAGCAGCCTAGCCTTTGTAAAATTATCATGGAAAATAATTGACCCAATCTTGGGGGAGAAAACTGAGAATTATGGATACTGTGATGAAATTTGTGTATACACACTGAACTATACACACTGGAACTACTGCTTGTATAAACAAAATAATATGCAAAATAATTATTTTATGGTTAATAATAAAAAGATAATATATGCATGACAAAACTTCCATATGACGGTGAATCAGATCAAAGGTACTTGGTACTGGAACCTGTCATCATAGGGTCTTGAAAATGCAGAGATGTTTTTTTTTACAATCAAGTTTGTAACATTTTGAGGAAGAATACACTCCAGCACAAAATGAGCTTCAATGACAAATACGGTGCAATGTGAAAACTTGTGTTGTGGACAATGCTAAGAGAATCAATACATTTTCTGTTCCAGTTTTTATATACATTTCAAAAGGGAATGTTATCTTTTCTGAGGATTTTTCAGCTTTATTGTATTCCCATCTTACCGGACAGCTATTTGGGTTTATCCCCATTTATAAATTTAATTTAAAGATGACTGGGTTATATATGATCTCAACACAGTCTCATTGTGCAGAAAATTAATATTTAAAAAAAAATCCTGTGAAGATTAGATATTACCTGTTAATGTAAAAAAAGTCCTTGCAAGTGCATGGAAATAACCTTGCTTGTCCATAACAATGCCATCATTGAGATTTGTAAGTTTTAGGAATATTATCCATTTTGGGAGGGGAAACATATTTGGAAAATAACCATTTGTACATGCAAATTTGTAATTACAAATCTTGTGTTTATGCACCAAGTAATTACAGTGCTTTTGAAAATTGCACACAAATTTTAAAATATTACTTTTATATCAATAACTATTGTCAAACATAGGTCACATCATTGATTTTTTAAATCTTGACATATATCATTTTCTACAAAGAAAATACCTCAGTAGGCAAGCTGTCCTGTTTTCTTGGTTGTCTTTGAAAGGATCCATGAAATTGTACAGAAGGCTGCTTATTTATTTGTTTACTGCTGCATTTTATATTTTGCTGAAAATTGACTTTGTTAAAGCTTCATGATGGAATTGAGAATGGAAATCTGTTGCAGTGTTTGATCATGTTTCTTGAATTTTTCATTGTATATAAAGGGATTACTGCTAAAACTTACCTTGGACTTTGTGTTTCACAGTGAAATTTGTGTGAATTCAGAATAAACAGATGTAAAACAGCTGTGTGAACGCTTGTGTGTTGCAGTATGTTACTTGTCTCTGAAGTAAGAACTTTCAGATGTATTCAAGATTTAGGTTTAAATCCAGCGCAAACAAAATGTTTATTTTTTCCCCCTGTCAATAGAGTATCCTAAGGGAAATTATTTTGAGTTTTCACATAGTTCTTAGTACACATAAAGTCACCGCATACAATTGACCTTATGCAATTGCCCTTAATTATTACTAAACACCATCATTATAACATAAGTAATGCAGGACACTTGCTTACCTAATTGCGGAGAGCATTAGGTATGGGTTGGCAAGATCCAAGGCTTAGTGTGTTCTGAGGTACTGCTGGAGGTAAAATGGCTTAAAACTGCATAGCTTACCATTGAAAGTACTCTCAGTGTTTGGCCAGCTATGACTACCCTACTTAATAGGGCTTTGGCTTGCAGGGTTAATAGGAGCTGAAGAGGAAGACTCCCAGTAACTGGTCTTCCCCTCCAACTCCTATTGATGAGCCAGGCTGGCTAGTCTGATCAGTACCCTGGAGTGCTGTGAGCATACTTCTCAGGAACTGGACTACCAAGACCGCAACAGAGGACTGACTCGATGCCCACATTTCTTTGGCAAGTATATCACCTTGGAGCCAGTTCAGCTACAAAAAGATGCCACTTAGCTTCTATTCCCCCCCCACCCGAAGGTGGTCACTAGTTGCTCTCGTATGTTAAAGGGATGAGGTGCAAATTTCCTGCAGCTGAATGTTGATAAAACGGAATCCAAACTCCTTGGCTCTGTCAACTACTCTCCTGTGGCTCCCTGAACTCCTCAACCTCCCCAATCTATCCCTAAGATTCACTGAACATGTACATAACCAAGTTATCAAGTTCGATCCCCAGCTATATTTGCTATCCCATACATGGTCCTTAACCTAGACCGCTTTCCTCCATTGTCACACTGCCCGCCCCTAACCGCACCTCACTCCCATTGCAGCCGAAACACTGGCCCACGACTTAACATCTACCGCCTCAACTATTCAAACGCCCTCCTTGCCAGTCTCCCGAGCTCCACTATCCATAAAATCCAACTGCTCTAAAACTCCGCCACCATTGTACTCACCCACTCTAAACTCCGCACCCCCATCAAACCTGTCCTCGCCATGCTTCACTGACTCCCTATCACAGAATGGATCAACTTCGACATCCTCACACTTGCCTACAAATCCCTTCACCCCCTGGCACCTCCCTACCTCTCTGACCTGCTTATTCCCCACGCCACCACCACCTCCTGTGCTTGGCTGGCTCCAGCCTCCTGCATGTCCCTTTGGCCCCTCCATTCTACCATCAGCGGCTGTGATTTCAGCCACTGTACCTCGAAACTCTGGAACTCTCCATCAATCCTTCTGCCTTGTCCCATTACCCCATTTTCAGATCACGCCTTAAGACCTTCCTCTTCAACTGTGCTTACTATCACCTCCCCCCAACTCTGCATCAGGCTCCACACTGTTAAGCACTCCGAGACGTTACCGTGCAAGAAGGGTGCTATATTCTTCAAATTGTTGTTTTTGTTGAGGTATGAAGGCAATTAGATAAGCTATCATTAACGCTCAGTTGGTAGCAACCTCACCTCAGTCAGAAGGTTGTGGGTTCAAGCCCCAGGTCAGGTCTTGGAAATCAAAGTCTAGGCTGTCATTCCAATGCAAAGCTAAGGAGGCGGGCGGGAGGGTGCATTGTTGGAGGTGCCATCCTTTAGTTGAGACATTAAAACAAGGTCGCGTTTGCCTGTTTACATGGATGTTAAAGATCCCATCATACTGTTGACAAAGAAGGGAGATTCTTCCCGTGTCGTGGCCAACAATCCCCCAAATAAAATTGTTCATCCTGTAATATTCATCAAAAGCAAAAAGAATTGATTTCAATCCGAGTTGATGAAATTAATGTAGAAACAGAGAGAGGATGAAGCATTGTATTAGACATGTCTTCAAATAATTTGCATTAACATCAAAGATGGATTTATAATATTGTGCCATTCGTGTGCCAAATAAATTCAGAATTAAGTAGGGGCTACAGTGAGGTTGAAAAGCAGTACTGTGGGCTATCGTCAACCTCATTTGCAAATAATCTATCTGGAGTGTGCGTGATTCTTGTTTCCCTGTTCCCTGGTTAGCTCAAGTCGATCTGTCCTAACTCAACGTGTCCACATCCTCATTGATGCCATCCGCTTCCTCTTACACTTTTGTCTCTCGGCAAGTCCAACATTACCCCTATTGCACCTGATTTACAAATAGTGTAACTTTAAGGCACCAGAAGAGACCACTGCCTCTATTACAGTCTTCTGAAATAAAACCTTAAAATCCCAGAAATGCTGATCCGATCAACCAATGATGAAAGTAATCTGGTGAAAGTCACTGGTTGCAAAACACTGCTATCAGTGACCAAATATCACCCAACTGTTGTTGCCTCCGTTTGCCTTTAGATTTCTAAATGATGAAATATATATTCATTTTTAGTTTGGGATTACGATGTAGACTTACATGGTGCTCATGAAAGAAATACCTGATTCCAATTTTTATTATAAGGCGTAGCGCCTTTGCAATAATACATGGGCTTTGTCTACAAAATAGCAGTCACCGCATTTAACGGTGAAGCCCTTGGATGTTGTCACTCATAACAGGATACTTTTGTTAATATTATCTGCATATTGCATCCTTGTAGCGTTCTTCAGTATATAAGGAAACACTATTTGCCACGCTCATTTGAGACTTATGTAGTTATTTTTCAGGAGCTGTTCTGCCAATGACATATGGATTTCGTTGGGAGTCCCCTGTGCATTTATGGCTCTTCAGTAAAAATAAATATCGGTATGTTAGAAAAGTGCCCGGGGAATTATTTTTGTTTAAATTACAAAGTTAGAAAATCATTCTAAGTTAGAAAATCAAATAGTGCATCACATACTGTTTGCTGGCGGTTCCCCCTGACCAGCTGTGCCAGAGTGCATGATTCCCAAGACCTAAGCGAAGTGCAGATAAATTATTGCAACAACAAAAATGAATGAGAGGAAATCAAAAGGAAACCTCTTTAATGCAGTTGAACGATCTGCTAAACAAAATCAAATCGTACTGGTTTCAAAATTGGATTACATACAGGTCAAGTACAAAATAATCGTAATTTTGAGATAATTTCTACGGTGAATAACGTTCTTTTCTGGACGATTCGTGGTTTCTCAAGATATTCAAATAGTACTGTTAACTGCAGTACAAAAAAGCTTGAAATGATCTTCAGACACCGTCAATGCAACTGAACAAACAGCTACAAAGTGTACAATGGTTTGCATTTTGGTGTTGATACTTCGTTTGTTCGGACAAAAAAGGTAATTACAATTTGCAAATAAAAACACAAACTTCCTCAGGTGAGAGTCTGAAACTTTCATTTCAGATTACAACGGTTTGTGTCCCAGACTATCAAACACTAAGCGTTCGTGCGATTTAAAAACAAATAACTGTTCTTAGAGAAAAAAACCCACAAAATACAGCAGATGCTGGAAATCTGAAAAGGCTTTTTAGCTGTTTTAAGTTGCTTATTAAATTTCAATTCCGATCCTTTCCAGGGCACACGATGCCTCTGAGCGGTGGTGTTTTTATCTCCTGCAGTTCCAGAAAATAAGCAAATCCCAGAGGTGCTCTCAGGAGATGCGATCCAACCGCTCTCCATTGGAAATCTGACACTTAGTACAAATCTGGTTTTCGGTAAAATAAAAATTCTTACCTTATTTGAGGCATCGATTTCTAAAATGAAAATGTTCTCTAAACCCAGCGGTGATAATATAATAACAACAACAACAACAACAACAATAATAATGTCTGATCAGAGCCCAATGTACAATCGCTTTGCTTCAGTAATTGTGCTGCTGTAACGTGGACAACGTTTACTGTACGTGTTTGGGGTTAAAAGTAACTGCCTGAGGGGCGGTGTCACCGAGAGCACAGGTGAGTTTGCTTTGATTTGCTTTTGATTCTGTTTACAATAATCCTCGACTAAGGACTCAGGCGCTGCGTTTGGGGATCATGAGATGTGCAGCCAATAATAGCACAGACAGCGGCACAGGGCAGCGGGGGACCTGGTCGCCACCTCTGATGGTCCTGGTGGTCCACCCGCCAGCCCTGACCTGCTGAGAAGGTGGAGAGGAGCTCGTGGGGCTGTTTAAAGCTGCGGCTCTGAGGGTCTGTACCAGTCTCTGTGTGTGTGTGTGTGTGTGTGTGTGTGTGGTGTGTCCTCGCAGATCCCACCGAGAGGTCCCTCCAGTCCCCGCACATCACACCTCTCCCTCTCCCTCTCCCTGATCCTCGCCTCACACACTCCCACCCGCAGCCCTCGGGCTGCAGCAAAGAGGTTTCCAGAGGCGTTACCTCCACACTCGCACTGACTGACTGACTGACTCACAGCCACAGGTGAAGCCCAGACTCCCGGCAACTGGTTTGGAAGCAAATTGTCCCTCAGATTTCGTTGCGGATTCACGGCTTTTGCTGAGGTGAGTGCCTTCCCCTCAGCGCGTTATACATAGGTACATCTGCTTTGTTGTTGTTGTTGTTGTTGTTGTGGTGGTGTGTGGCTCTGATGGAGAGGACACCGCAGTCTCTGCTCTTCAACAGAGAGGTATTTACTGTCGGTCCTCGTGTTCGAGGCGCGACGCTCTTGTTCGCATTTCTCACAATCCCTCAAAAAAATTGTAAACTGAGGGGAAAAGGGTTTTTTTTTTTGTTTGTTTGTTTTTTGGATGGAGGGGGAAAAAAAGACGGTGCTTTGCGTTCTGCTTTTGATCATTTTGAAATGTGCAATAACTAAACCCACGTTTTGTCGCCTTTCCCCATTCAGAGGGCACATCGCTGTAGTCGCAGCGACGAGAGGCTGAAAGGCGCTCAGACATTGATATGCACCGGAGCCGCTAAATGTTTACCCATTTCTATTTAATGTGTTGCTTCCAGTTTCCGAACAGAGGACACACTGCCGCTGGACCGACGAAATGTGGTTTTCGTCCGCTTCAAAAGGGACTCCGATTCCGTTTAATTTCACCTGATTTAAGGTCACAGTTTTCATGTCACAATTTCCTCACTCCACAGAGTGACTGTGACTCTGCAGAGGATTCCAGTCTTACACCAGTTTTATACCCTTTGCCAAATCATCGGATGTTTCCTCTCATTGCAGATTTGGTGGGTTTCGATTTGAGAATCGTTTCAAAGACAACACTGGACCTTATTTTTTTTCCCCTTTGTCTTTAAACGATTCCAAGGTTTTATTTATTTTCCCTCTAAAACTGGTTTCTAACCCTCTTTCTCAACGACAAGTTGTGAAATTTTCCTTCTGAGCATGTTTCTAAGCATTTTTTTTGTGTGTACATAACCAGTTGTTTCTTTCCCGATAAAGATGTTTCTAACCAGTAAATGCGTTGCTGATATTTTCCTTTTAAAGACATTTCTAACCATTTTTCGAAACCGATTTAGGGCGCTCTGCATTGACATTATTTGTTTCGAGACAACATGTCACTGTTATGGGCGCCCAATGTAACCGAATCGTCTATTTCAAAGCTAACTCTACAAATTGTGGTGGTGACTGTATTTCCAAAAAAACATTATTATTGCTTAGAAAGAGAAAACCTATTCCTTTGCCAGGATCGTTCGCTGCACAATTAGAAAAAAAAAGATGAGAGCCTGTACGTAGAAACATAAACATGTGCAATAAGTATACCGTGCTAACAGCATACATTGTAAAAGAAAATACAAACTTCATACACACCTGTCATTTACAATCCCATTAAATGTTTATCGTATACTATAGTAAATCTTTTCCTTGCAATTAAGTAATTGTACAGTTTGTTATTATTATGGATTATTAAAATGTGAAAGCCCCACATATATGTGTATGTATATATATATAAAGGTTGTCATTGAATCCCTTGTTTGCTTGTGTGTCTCAGTTCGGATTGTGCCTCTTGCTGACAGCCCAGTGAGGAGGTGGCTGGAGTGTTGTTGCCCCCCACCCCCCCCCCCATCCCCCCCCACCCCCATGATCAAAGCCAAACTATCTGCTTTCATGTCTGCCATTGTGGCTCCAGCCAAAGAGTTCAACACCATGGAGACCAAGACGGTGGAGCTCGTCCTGGTAAAGGAGCAGAATGGGGTTCAGTTAACCAATTCCAACCTGACCAGCTCCCCACAGCCTTACCAAGAAGGGGACTGTGAGAGCGAGAGCAGGGAGATCTGGGCCAAGAAGATCGACTTTCTGCTCTCTGTCATTGGCTTTGCCGTGGACCTGGCAAACGTCTGGAGATTCCCATATCTGTGCTACAGGAATGGCGGAGGTAGGAAATGTTCTCCAAGCGTTAGAACTGAAGCAATCTCTACAAATTCCGACTCTGTCTCTCTGTTTTTCTATAAATCACTCTCTGATTCTTTTTTTTCCACTCTCTCTTTCTCTCTCCCCTCACTTGTAAATTTGCACAAAGAGAAATGATAATAATAATCCTTGCATTTGATATAGCACCTTATCACGTCGTTGAGACATCTCAAAGTGCTTCCACAGAATAATAATAATAATCCTTGCATTTCATAAAGTGTTTTTCACGTCTTCTAGACATCTCAAAGCGCTCCACAGAATATGCCGTAAAGTGAATTGACTGTATATTTGTGGGTTAAACATGGCAGCCAATTGCGCACAGCAGTGTCCCACAGACAGTCGTAGATTGAAATGACCAATTTATTATTGTTTTGTTTTGGAGGGTTTATTATTAGGTGTGTGGAGTAAGGAAACTTGCCCAAGGTTTTGCCCTGCCTGGAATCGAACCCAGGTCTCTTGCTGGCAAAGCGAGTGCTCTGACCACTGAGCTACAGGAGTCCCTAGAATATACTGTAAAGTGAATTGACTGTATATTTTGTGGGCGAAATGCACTCGTTTCCACAAATAGAGTTTGTATTCCGAAGAAGTGAATTAATAAACATTAGAACATACTTTAACTGATGTTTGTAAGAACCTATTACACAAGCCACTTTGTCCGATCTAATCAAATGTGATTTTTATTGAAAAATAATTGTGGTTAAAACTTGAATCGTGCATGTGTGTGCGTATGGTTGTGGACAGGTTTATGCACAGCCTGAGATTTGTGGAAATCACCGATATCACTGTGTTTAGCAATCTGAAAAGTTATTAATCATTTTCCTACAGGTGCTTTTCTTATTCCTTATTTGTTCTTTATGTTCATTGCCGGGATGCCGCTTTTTTATATGGAATTGGCACTAGGACAGTTCAACAGAGAAGGGGCCGCAGGAGTTTGGAAGATCTGCCCCATATTTAAAGGTAAGTTATTGCAGTTGCCAGGATATTAGTTAACCCCTTAACTCTGCAGTATTCCATGGGGGAAGGGTATACTGTATTTGAAAATCAATTGAAAACAGATCTTCACAATGCCCCTATTCCCATTAAATCCAATATCCCAGATGGTCTTTCTGATGTCGTTTGAACAATTCTCATGTATTAATAACAGTAATAACAGTTGGCAATTGCAGAATTCTGAATACTTAAGAATTATCTACAGCAAATGTTCTTGTAGTGCTGCAGCCAGACAGTGTGAATGTAATTGTAACTGTTGTGGGTCTATCACAGGAATTTTGAAACACAGTGCACATTTTTTTATTGAATTTGGTGAATCATTAAATCAATTGTCAACGTGTCGCAGCTAGTAGCACTCTGACCTCTGAGTCAGAAGGTTGTGGGTTCAAGCCCCAAGCTGGCACTTGGAACTCACAGTCTCAGATGGAGATGCATTATGTCAGAGAAGATGTCCTTCAGATGAGACATAAAACTAAGGTCCTGTCTACCTGTTCAGGTGGACCTTTAAGATCCCTGCCACTATTCGAAAAGAAAAGGGAGTTTCTCCCAGTGCCCTGACCAACAATCACCATGGATAAAATGATGATTGTGAATTCACTATAATAAGAGGCAGTACCTGTTTAAAACATTCCTACAGGTTTCTCTGCGGATTGACTTTCCTCAGCCATTGTATTCCTCCGTACATTGTTTCAAATACACTCCAAGTTACACTCAAATGCCTGCTATCACACAGCTTGATGCACTACTTCTGTACTATAAATGCAATAAGGGAGACTATATTCATTTACTGCAGTCATGTGACAGTAGGAAATAGTATCCTTAAAGCTATCAGATTGTGAAATGGACGAGTGGATGGAGGAAGGGTGGATGTTAAAGGGTATAGAGAAAAGATGGGCAAATGGGATTAAAAGATCTCAATGAGCTAAACGGCATCCTCCTGTTTCTATGATGGAATAAACAGCTAATTTTTTTCCAAACACATTGTTTTAGGCCATTTTGATAAACTTTGGAGCGTGGTGTCCCTTCTATAAAGGGAAAAATATTATATTTAGTTTCTCTCTATATACACACACACAGTGGTGTTATACTTGTGCATTGTTTCCTAAGGGACTTATTGATGTTTTTGTCCATTCATTACCCCCTAAATTGGGATCAGCTTCTATCTGTACCTTTTTCTGTCATTTTAAACTTTAATTGAAAATTGTTCATGTATGATGTTCCAGTGTAAAAATAACAAGACAAAGCTGCACTGTATTTCTTCTATGTTATCTGCTCTCTTGCTTTAGGTGTCGGCTTCACAGTTATCCTTATCTCACTATATGTTGGATTCTACTACAATGTAATTATCGCCTGGGCTCTCTACTATCTGTTCTCATCCTTCACCATGGAACTGCCCTGGATCCACTGTAACAACAGTTGGAACAGCCCCAACTGCTCTGACTTCACCAACATGACCAAGCAGAACTCACCCACAAAATATTACCAGTATAAAAACAATCCTGCAGCTGAATACTATGAGTAAGTAGTAGTCTGATCACAGCCTTTCTTGTTATTAGATTCTGTTCTTCATAGGTTTGCTTTTGATTAAAGGTGAATAATCCTTTATTATGGTATCACAGGTTACCATTGATTACCGAGAAATTTGGATGAGGTATGCAGATGTATGCCTAACCAGGGTGAGGTAATTAAAAAGTGACAAAATTAAGTAGTTTTTCTCACTGATCTGACTATTTAACACTGGTAACATTGATATTTAATACTTAAACTAGATTGCCAGCATGTCAAGGGGAGTTCTTGTTTCTCTTCGTATAATCCATTTTATAACAATAATTCCCCTTACGCACTGTGATACATTGCTATAATTAAAAAGATCCTCAAGCGTCAGGCTTTAGCCATATGAAGTTAAAATAAAAACTTGCAACACAATCTCGAAGAAAAAGGTTCCCAAATATGTTATTCGGCAAATCCTTTACTGTTCATTGTAAAGACAGAAAGTTTGTCAAAACTGATGGTTAACCGATTAGTTCCAATTCAAGTTATTCCTTTTGCTAAATGAAAAGTGCTTTAAATATTTTATATATTTCCATTCAATAACATCAACACAAACTATTTTATTCACTTGCAATTTGTCACGTCAATCAGAAAGCTCTCCATGAATTGTCAGGGGAAGGCTTACTGCTCATCCCTTAAATTCTGTCAGGAAAATTGATTTTAATAACAGTTCGGTACTGAGCAATGTGCGTTTACCTGATTTTTAAGATTGACCTCTGTTTCACCTTTCAATTCGACTTCTTGCAATCACACTGTATTTGAAGTGAGCTGCTAATCCTTGTTCTTCCACTTAATATGGTTTCACTCTGTGGTTCTCATTTAAATAATCCAAGTTGTTCGGATCTGGATGCATTGCCTGAAAGAGTGGTGGAAGCCAATTTGATAACAACTTTAAGAGAGAAGTAGATAATTATTTAAGGAGGACAAGTTTGCAGGACTATAGGGAGAGAGCAGGAGAGTGGGATTGATTTGGATAGCTCTTTTCAAAGAGCCGGCACAAGCAGGATGGGCCGAATGGCCTCCTTCTGTGCTGTATAATTCTATGATTCCATGATTCTAATAACATTGTAACCTGTAACATTGTAACCACTCATCCTAACCAACTAGTTAGCCTAACTGAACTGTTTGCATGCTTTGCTTACATTGCACTGTATATTTGTTCCCATACTGAATTAATATCATTTAACACAGACAATGATTAGAATTAACATCTGATCAGTTACCTGAATTATTTACTTCTCTGAACAGCACCACTCTCAACCTGTTCAAATAAATTATACACGACTATAGATTAGAACAGCTATGATAATTGGTGGTATTACATGACCAGATTTCTTAAACAAGAATCCAGTTAGAACATCCGTCCACCCACAGGAGCTTTACTCCAGAAGTAAATTGTGTTGGAGTAGAGAAGCAGCATGACACACTTCCACTTCCCTGATAAATCTCCATTTTCAATGACAACAACAACATCTTGCATTTATATAGCGCCCCTCATGCAGGGCAGAGTCCCAGAGTGCTTGACAATGGCGGAGAATGACACCGAGCCGGGGGGGAGGGGGAGGTGATTGTAGGCACAGTCGAAGAAAAAAGGTATTCAGGCATGACCTGAAGATGGGGAAGGAGGGGGCAAGGCAGAGAGAAAGAAGAAAAGTGTCCCAGAGTTTCTGGGTGTAGTGGCTGAAAGCGCAGCCAATGGTGCAATGGAGGGCGCAAGGGACATGCAGGAGTTTGGAGCAGTTGAGCAGAGGCAGTGGGTAGTGGGGTAAGCAAATCCATTACTTTTCATTACTCAGATTCCTTATTAAGGAATTCTATTATGAAATAACACAAATTAGACACCTTTGTAACAAACTAATCCATTCAGACCTGTTGCTTGATCAGTAAAATAGAAATAGGCTGGAAAAATATTTATGATGGCTTACAGTGACACTGGCTGATTGATTACAGAGGGTAACTATCAAACATTGTACATAATGCTAGAGCAGCAAACACTCAGACCTCCTTTGCTGCAGTGTCATAAGCCCTGACCACGTTTGAGCGAAGTTACAAAGCCAGATTTGTTTTACAACAATATAATAATATTATAATAATAACAATCCTTGCATTTGATATAGCACATTATCACATCATTGAGATATCTCAAAGCACTTCACAGAATATAATGGATTGATTGTGTATTTTGTGGGTGAAATGCCACAGCATTAGTACACATTATAAGTACCTTTTTCCCCCCAAACAGGCGTGGGGTTCTTCACCTTCATGAAAGCACGGGAATCCATGACATCGGCCTGCCCAGATGGCAGCTCACCTCCTGCTTATTGGTTGTGATCATTATCCTTTACTTCAGTTTGTGGAAAGGAGTCAGAACATCTGGCAAGGTGAACATTGTTAGATTCTAGGGCATCAATGAGTTTTACTTTCTGGACTTCAGTTCATACTTTCCCAGCTTTCAATGAAAAAAATGAGATTATTTTTTAGAAATACTGCAAACTAGATTGTTTTCACTATTCACAATTGGAAGTTAACACAACTCCAGTTAATGCATTGCAAACATGGCAGGTTAAACACTATGGTTTAGTGAAATCAAAGTTGACAAGTCTGAGAAGTTGGAATGTGCACTCTCAGGTGAGGTAGAGGTACAGCATGAATCAGAGTGAACCTCCTTCTACTCACCCTCAGCTGCAGAAAAGCATTCCCTGTTATATAAACCACAAGAGTAGAGAAGAGACTTCCATCTCATCCGGCTGGGATCCATGCACCAAAGCTCCCAAGAGGTGTATTTAAGACTGTTTCTAAACTGCCCGCCTTTCTGAAAGGTTATACACTTCTGCCACGTGTTAACAATTCGTTTGACCTTTTTGAGTATGAGTAAACTATCAGTGTTATGGAGAGTATAATTAGCAACCAGATCTCTACAATACACTGAAGACTGACTCTGATGGTCCAGTGGGTGGAGCCACAACCTGTTGTAGCAGTAGAACCATACAGACCGGACCACAAGTCTGTGCAACAAGTTTAACTGATCTTGTGCATGTCAATGTGGTGCTACAATTGGGTCAAGCCCTTATGTCTAGAGGGAGAAAACAAAATCAGGCCCGTGACCTTCTCCCAATTGCTATCTAGTGACCCCAGCTGAAACTGCCATATTCATTGTAATATTCAACCCTGTCAAATAACCTGCCAATCCTCACTGTCTGGCTAATGCATGAAGAATGGCTCCTTGGGCCAGGTAGTGGAGAGTGACTAATACTGTGGAATGGTGTCCAAGGAATTATTGTCTTTGACATAGTTTGTGCTCAGTAATGGAGACGGATAATTTAAGAGATCATTATTTGAATAATTTAAATTTTAATAAAGATAAGTTTTTTTTACAAAATACTGCCGGTAACAAGAAATTGCCCTATTTCATAAATATTATGTGATATTGTATCCTGCCACATAACAGGTTGTCTGGATTACTGCGACTATGCCATATGTGGTTCTTACCATTCTACTGCTTCGTGGAGTCACTCTGCCTGGGGCCATAGATGGAATCAAAGCATATCTAAGTGTTGACTTCTTACAGCTTAGTAAACCCTCAGTAAGTCTTTAAAGATCAGAATGTAAGTACGTCTGTTTTGGACAACTACAATTTTTCTCTCTAAAAAAGTAAGTGGGTAAATCATTTATTCTGCATGTAATATTAAACATAGACATGGTATTTGCAATTAATTACATAATTTTGTTTATCATATCTTTTGTGCACTTGGACATTTAGTAGAAACTGAGTATCAGAAAATGACAGAATAGAAGGCAGCCATTGTACCCATCAATTCTCTACCAGTAGCAGATCCTCCTTAGGAGTTAAACACTCATTTGATGAATTAATAAAATCGGGCGATTGACTTGGGGAAGAAATTGACATCACCCTGAAAGAAGCAAGAGAGAAATGTTCTGAAGGAAACAAACAAAATTACTTTAAAATATTATTGAGCATGTGCCTTTAAATATCATTAAGTCAAAATGTTTAGTGCCTTTAACACCAGCAGTTGAACTCTCCCAAGTGTCTGATGCAAATTCTCTGAAGTTTATATTATTCATAAGTAAATCAGAGGAAGGTTCTTCCAAAAATATATGATGAAAACAACCCAAGAAAATAATTAATCTCACTTGAGCTCTCCACACCACATTCACCCAAACACAGGACATGTTCCTTTACAGCTCAGTGAGATCCCCTGTTATTGGTATTATTGGTAGAGAGCTGATTATCTGCACTTATTGGGACCTGGGCTCTTTGTCGATACACAGACAGTGCGGATAATCGGACATCACCAAAATACAAATTGCTATATTGTTAACTAAAACTTATTCAATCAGGAGAAATGCTGTCACTGTAGAACCACACTTTGTAAGCGCATTTCTCTCTCAGTTCCTGACTGACTCTCTGTCTCTGTTTTTTTTCACCTGCCTTTTTCTTTCTCTGAGTGGCTCTCTTTCACTCTGTTTCTCTCTTTGTCTGACTGTCAATCCCTTTCAACTCTTCTCTATCTTTGTGTCTCGCTCTGTATTTGTCTCTCTGTCTCCCCAAGAGTCTTACTAATGTTCAGATTCTCTTTCTCTACCTCTATAATATCTCATTCTCTAAACCTAAATATCAGTGTAACATTTCTAAAGATTTACCTGTGTTACCTTCGTTACACACAGGTTGCTGACTTGGTTTCTGATGATGTCCCATAGATATCAGCAATGTGTATGTGACAAGTTACACACAAGTTTGTGAGCACAGGTCAGGGTGTGCTTGGAAACCAAGGTGGCAACCTCAAAAGTAGCCATTTTTTTCAGTACATCACCAGCCGTATCCAACTCCTACATAGGCAGCCTTTGCAGTTAAACAAACATATGGTTAATTGGCATTTAGTTATGCAGTGTTTTACTGTATTCTAGACCAATTATCAATCATTGGCAGAAACAGGCTGTCTCAAAAAAATTGCTACAAAGCCTGAACTGAGCTTAAGTTATTTTCCTGGTCCCTATTAATGCTTATCCATATATTCGATAAGACTTCTGTTATGTCAAGAATTATATTAAGAGTCCCGCACTGGGAAATTTGTTGGGTAGTATTTTATTGTAAATTATTTAACATCAGATGAATCCATTTATGTGTATTTATATGTGACCCAGTAAATACATTGAAAAGCCAATAAAAGCATTGACAGATTCTTCATTACATACATAAAATTGTGTTAAAATTAAAATGACTAGTGATACAATTTTTTTTACAAAATGTTCAGATTGTGGCTCTTGTGTCAGTTTTGTCACAGTTACAGTAGCTGAACAATTTATTTTGTGAAAAGAATCATTAGCAGAATAGTAACACAAAGACAGGCTGAAATGCTGTACTATATTTAGCTAAACACTATTGCTGTCTCATATACATACCTGAGAAAGGTGATCTGTCTCTTTGAACAGTTTATTCTAGTGAGAAATTGGACACAGATTCAGCTTCTTGTAAAGCAGGACTTTATATGACAGAATTATTTTATAAATTTCAATAATGTTGATCAATATCGTCCGCACAAACCTCCCAACTGCTTCATAGATCTATTGAATGGCTGCCACAATATATTACGCAGCGTTCGAGTTCAACTTTTCTCTCACTCCAACATGGTAAAGTTTTACAAAGATATATGTACAAAAGCTATCAATTTATACATCATTTTCCTGTTTGCAGATGACTAAACAGAGAACAGTCACCCACAGAGTAGGCTGTACAGATGCACACAACAACAAATTGCAAAATTGCCCTTATTTTAATATTCTTTCATCTCTATGCTGAATAGGTTCCTGCAATTATCTCTAATAGCAGCTCTTTTTCTCTCCATTGTATATCTGTGTTTTGTTCTCAGGTCTGGATAGATGCAGCCACACAAATATGTTTCTCACTTGGAGTGGGTTTTGGTGTCCTAATAGCCTTTGCAAGTTATAACAAATTTAATAATAATTGCTACAGGTAAGCTATGCTGTGAGTTTAAATTCTGATTTGAGATGATTCTAATAGCGCTCGGAGTTCCCAGAAAGCTGCTTTAGTGGACTGGGTTATTATTAAACCCACCTGGGTTATTCTCTTGCCCTCCATTGACAGCCGAACAGAGCCTTTCTTTGCTAAAGTGTGCACTTGGGGTATTTTGTTTTTGTCCATCATTGAATGTGGATCAGGTGTTAAACAAGAATAGTATGACAGGATGAAATACATCAAGGCAAAGTAGGCTATTTTTTTCCCAAGGAGATTAAAGATTGGGAGGAGATTGTAAAGAGAAATTAGTATTGAAAAGCCGATAAAAGCATTACATATATTAAAATTGTCTTAAAATTACGATTATTTAACAAAATAAGCACTCTGAGACGCCATCCGGCATGAAGGACACTATATAAATGCAAGTTGTTTTGTTGTTGTATTTGACTGACTGCCAGTGAATTATTTCATGCATGCTTCACAACAATAACAATTAGAACCAAATAATTGGAGAGAAAAAGGATGGTAAATGGAGTACAAAATGGGCATAAAACTTGAACTCAAATCAAGCCTTTCTAAACTTTATGGGGAAATCAATTAAGCAGAGAAAATTCTGATCTTTAACCCTCAAGCTCTGATTTGCTCTGGATTTTTACAAAAAACTGTTAAGTCCCACTTACATTTACATGTCTGCAGATGTTTGCTGGTTTGACCTGCACACATTTGGTGTCTTATTTCTATTTATTTTAGTATATTTTATAAAAAGGGTGATTTTTTTCAGGAGCTCAACTGTTCCCAGTGTTGATGGCCCTGCATGACCGCACATCTTTGTGGAGTGTTTCCAAATATGTTTCAAAGAGTTCACATCGGGCTAAAAAATAAGCAAAGCCCAAGCTGAAGCTCATAAGTCCCTGGCTTATATACATTTCACAACCGTCCCTTTTAAATGTGTGTGACGCTGTGTGTTGTTTTCAGGGATGCCATCATTACAAGTTCTGTCAACTCGGTGACCAGTTTTTTCTCTGGCTTTGTCGTCTTCTCTTTCTTGGGTTACATGTCAAATCGTCACGGCGTAGCATTGGAGGATGTAGCCACTGGAGGTAAGTTACCTGAAGTCCTCATTGTACATAGCCCTTCACCTCATCACACCAATGATCAGATACTTATTTGTTTAACGTAGCCTTCCTCTAAAGACAGTATCCCGGTCAACAGTCCTCAAAGAAATTGTTTTTTACTTACATGATTGTTTGTGGGATTTTGCTGTGCCTAAAATAACTTACCATATTTCCCTTTGAAAACCGAAAACAGTCACAACAAATTACAGTATTTTCTGTGAGGCGCATTGAGATGTTTCCTCGGTATCGTAAGTGCAACAAAATGAACGTTCTTTCAAAAAGGATAGTATGAAAAGGCACTATACATCTCACAGTTCCCCCAAAAAAAATATTGTCTTGAAATAATAATAATGGTCCTTGCATTTGAGAGAGCGCCTTTTCATGTGGTTGAGATGTCTCAAAGCGTTTCACAGAATATATTGTAAAGTGGATTGCCTGTGCATTTTGTGGGCGAAACACGACAGCCAATTGATCACACCAGTGTCCCACAAACAGTTGTGGATGACTGACTTTTTATTACCCCCGGAAAGCGATCCGCCAATCGACTAAAGAAACTTGCCTAAGGTTTTGCCCCGCAACGGAATGTGATTAAATGTAAATGAAAATGTAATTAAAGCACTGACAATCTACGGTTTACACTTACAGAAGCAGGATTGGTCTTCATCATTTACCCAGAAGCTATTGCTACTCTTCCTGGATCGTCGATTTGGTCAGTCATCTTCTTCATCATGCTCCTGACACTGGGGCTTGACAGTGCGGTGAGTGCATCGAATGTTACACGCTGCGATAAAGAAATCAAACCTCTAATCCGTAGTACTGATGCCATTTTGCTACGATTCCTTTGAAAAAATTATTAAACTCTTGCCGGAGGTGTCTGATTCAGTCCTATGTCACCGACATCGCTTTGTTGGTGATAACCTGACTCTGGTGACTGCTCTAGCCCACAGAATATACAGTCAATTCACTTTACAGTAAAATCTGTGAAGTGTGAGACGGCTCGAAGATGTGATAAGGCGCTATGTCAAATGCAAGGATTATTATTATTACCTAGGAGAATGTATCACCAGAACAACATTCTCTCTGGGACCACCAAAACAAAACAACTGAGAAACTATGAGGTTGCTGAGGTCCTTTGCAGATGTCCCAATCCAAGCTTCGGGCAATGTGGCCACACCATACTTATATTGTGGGCCTGCGTGTCACATCCCAATGCATTTATTATTACAGTGTGTAGTAGCTGTTACTTAGTTGTTGAAACTATGTTGAATCTACTTAACAGGGATATCAAGTACAGACAATTCCTGATAACTCGACCCTGTCTTAACTTGCCAGTACTGCTTCAGTCATCAAGTTGTCAATATCCTAAATGCATTTATTTATGTATTTATATACGTCCCTGATTCACCACTCCTGATTAACACGCCTTTAAGCTTTTTTCCATTGGAACACCGAGTTATCAGTAGTTTACTATATAAGATTTCAGTGAAGATGTGACTTTGGCCCAATTCACCTTTTTTGGATGTCAGTTTATTTGTTCCTTTAGGAATATAGAATAATGGGAGAGGAGATTAGGAGGGTGGAGGCTTGTGTGGACTATAAACACAGGCATGGATTAGCTGGGCCGAACGGTCTGTTTCTGTGTTGTTATAGAATGTGTAATTCTCAATAAATAGTAGGACATTGTGCATTTCCTTTATGTGTTAAATTTGTTAAATGCCTCTGGTATTGTAGCGAGTCATAAGCATTCTTGCTTTCCAAATGCCTCTTTTTCCTCTACCCACAGATGGGTGGCATGGAATCAGTTATTACTGGACTCATGGATGAATTCAAATTCCTGCGAAATCACAGAGAGATCTTCACACTCTTCATCATTGTTACGACCTTTCTGGTATCTCTCTTCTGCGTAACCAATGTAAGTCACTGGTACAGTGTACTCTAATAATGAAACAATTATGTTATTCTGCAGATATCCCATTGTCTAGATCTTTAATGCCGGGGTGTATATTTCAGAACAAGAGTTTAGTGTACTTTCTTGAACCATTTTTGTTATCATATTCTACAAATGCAGATGATGGTGATAGCTACAGCAAGCACTGCAATAAACCAAAAAATTACAACCTCGTTTAGCTTGGTTTACAAGCTAATTTTCAGTGCAGCGACTAATTTGAGTAGATAGTACCTCTTGCAGCTCATTAAGAAATTTAGTATAGGTTCTATTATAAATGTAATTTGTTGTTGTACACAGTTTGGTTTTAATTCACACTTCGTTCCTATACTGAGGGCTCTGGCACGAGTGAGATTCATAAGTCAACACTGTCTCACTCACATCCATAGGGATATTCTGCTTATAGGTAGTGGAGCTTTTAAGAAAACCAGAGCACTCAGTGTGTGCAGCCTGTTTCATATAACACAAATAACACCAACCTACTCATTAAAGTAATGGGGAAGGGGAAGGTCAGGGTTAAACTTATGTCTGTAAGAAGTTAGAATGGTATCAATAAATGTCACAATAGCTATCAGATAGAGACAGTGGGTTATGGGTAGATTTGCCCTGCTCAGTGCTCTGAAATGCTACCGCACGCAAAGGGCACTATATAAATGTAAGTTATTGTTGTTATTGCTCACGATGTCAAATGAACTCTACGCACAATATTTGCTACCAAGGCAACTCACACTTCAGAATCTAGTTTGTGATATTTCTTAATTCCCTAGAATCTCATTAGATTCCAGAGCAGCCACACAGGATCTCCTTCAGAATTAGATTGTATTGGCGTTGGGCCACTCCAGTGTGATTTAATCACAGTTACCAGGAAGAGTTTGGAATGGCTTGATTAAGCAATCCAATTAAAAAATGCAACACTTTAGACCCCAATATTTCTAAAGTATGAATCAGAGCAAGAAGAGATCGCCGAGAGATACCACTAAATACATAAATATTTCTCATTGTAACATGTAAGATTATGGGACAGTTCAGTAGAATGTACTTCTGTTTGAAGATTAATTCATTCTCAAAAGTGTGAAAAATGTGAAAAGCTGGGTGAATTGTAAATTGTTGTGACACCTAACCTGAGAGTACAACTCATAGGAATCTCATAATTGTATATCTCTAATTAAGACACACGATGTCCTTTCTGCTACCAACTCTCTTGTCTTCTTTCCAGGGAGGTATTTACGTATTCACTTTACTGGACAAATTTGCAGCTGAGACATCCATTTTGTTTGGAGTACTTATAGAAACTATTGGAGTCTCTTGGTTTTACGGTAAGAAAACACATGGATTCCTGCCTGAAATTCTCTTTAATCTAGACATAAGAAAATCCTGTTAATTATACTTCATGTTTTATAAAACAAGCAATACAGAGAAGGAGAGAATGACTGTGGTTTATTGGCTATCTGTCATCCTCTACCTCTAATGCAGGGCTAATCAAAGATTACACTCAAAAGCCATCATGTAGAATGGAAAGCAGGGTGCTCAAAGTACAGGGCATGGAATAGTGGTCAAGGTTTTGTGTGTATATATTCACAAAAAAATTGCATCTGATCTCAGCAATTTTTTCACGAAGGTAATGTGAAGAGGAGAGCAATTCAAAACCACTCTCGCACAATCGCTTATGGATGTCAAGGGTGCCATTAACTGAGGGAATGTCACAATTTGATGAAAACTGTTACTGCTGATGCTTTTATGACCTGTTCTTATAATAAAGGTTATATTTTAACCACAAAGGTTAAAATGCAGAGAAAAATCCAATACATGTGAAAATAATTCTAGTTAATTATTAAATAGTAAGAGACCTGAGTTCAAGTCCAGGCAGGGCGAAACCTTGGGCAAGTTTCCTTACTCCACATGCCTAATAATAATCCCTCCAAAACCCAAAACAATAATAAAAATTGGTCATTTTCAATCTATGACTGTCTGTGGGACATTGCTGTGCGCAATTGGCTGCCGCGTTTGCCCACAAATATAGTCAATTCACTTTACAGTGTGTTCTGTGAAGCGCTTTGGGACGTCCTCCGACGTGAAAAGCGCTATATTAAATGCAAGGATTATTATTATTATTATAAATAATATTCACTGGATACTCTGTTCATTATGGAAATTGCTCTTCTACCAACACACATAAACCAGCAGCAACTGAGCAGCCTCATATTTTGATACTTTGCCTCCCTAGTTTATAATCTATGAGACACAGGGTCATGTGTGTAGTATTTGCTGTTCTATTTCAGGATGGATGTTAGAACGTGTACCTGTTGACCATGGATTCATTTGAAAAACGAGCACAATACAGAATACTGCACCTTTAGCACCCATCATGTTCAGCGTTTGCCATCGGAAGCTATGGTCACTCACAATCCAGGAATACCAGTTTCCATGCTGTAATATTGATTGACCATCTACAGTGACCCAGATTATTTACGCTTGCAAAGTGAAGTGAGCTGCGGTTGTCTGGCTAATCGTAGCTCTTTCTCTCTTGATGCACGATATGAAAACTGAGCTAAAATTGATTCAAAGGAAAATAGGTCTGGTCTTTTACATGTCATGTTGATCATGAGTTCCTTTTCAGGAGTTGATCGTTTCAGCAACGACATTGAGAAAATGATAGGCAAACGGCCTGGTTTGTACTGGAGGCTCTGCTGGAAGTTTGTCAGCCCTTGTTTTCTTCTGGTGAGTCCAGTACATTGTGGTTTTAAGAAAGTAAAAATTATGCTCGCTGTTAGTTTTACATCTTACACAGGTATTGTGCTGACAGGCTGGAGTTGCATTGTTTATATAGTGACTAAGTTAATACAGTGGAGCTGTAGTTGGCAGACCATAAATTCCTAACCTGCCTTAAAACAAGTCCACAATGGCTAGTTTCACTGCGCATATGTGCAACCAACTGGTTCACTTCCGGCATGCTGGTTGGTTCTGCGCACAGCACCAGGAGGTCATATCAGTGGCAACTAGATGACCCGGAAGTTGACCAATTTTATGTGAGGCCAGTGTGTAGGAAGAATTATAATAGAATTAGCTCTATAATGAAACACATCACATCATGGATGCACTGCATTTATCTGCACTCTCATTGAACTGAAGACAGCTTCAATGAATACATTATGTTCCTAAATCTGGGTCCACCTACTGTCACAGAAGTAGATGTGACATTATTTGAGTTAAACTGATATCCCATAAAGCTGCTCGAAAATGTCACAGTCAGCCATTGGGATCAACAATAGTGGCTTCATTGCCCGAGGCCATTCCTTTGGAATTGATGGAAAAATGCGATGTTTCGTAAGTTTTCTAACGTAGTCGATAACACATTTCGTAATTATCAAATCTGCTATCAAACATCGCATTTGGCACCCCAATACAGTGAAGTCTTGTTGTATCATGGTGCTTGGGAGCTGTAAAGTCCCAACCTGGGTTGTAGTGAGGCACAATAGCTAGCCAGTACCCTGTCTATATGCCAAGTGGCACAGCATTACAGCTGAATTCCATAGAGCTTGAGTGCAGGACAAGATTCAACACATTATTGTGATTGCAGCACTTAAACTGTGTTTTGTCTCTTTCTTTCTGCCTGAAGTTTGTCGTCATCGTCAGCATTTCGACATTTAAAGCCACAGAATATGACAATTACATCTTCCCAGACTGGGCTAACACCACTGGATGGTGTATTGCTATATCCTCAATGGCAGCCGTACCCATTTATGCAGTGTACAAATGTGCCAGCCTGCGAGGATCCCTGCGTCAGGTCAGTGAGGTGTCAGCAAATAATTCTTATTTTCCTACTCTTTAAAAATATGTCTTTAGTTACCCTTGGAGAGGCCACATGGTCCAATTGGTTCAATGTTTCCCATCTCTGTATATCCTTCAATGGGCGCCTCACCAACACCTTGAGATATTCCTCTTGACATAAAAGGCGCTACATGAATGCAATTTGTTGTTGTTGTCAGTGAAATTACCAACTAGTGGCACACACTTCTAATTAGGATTATTCTTCTTATTGATTTTCTCATTTTAAACCCTTGCTGTGGAGGAGGAATGAATTTACAAGATCACAAGACAAGTCTGGATGAAGGACTTTATTCAATACATTTGATCTCATCTTTTCAGAACACACTCTTCCTCTTATAATAATAATAATAATCCTTGCATTTGATATAGCGCTTTTCACGTCGGGCGGATGTCCCAAAGCACTTCACAGAACACACTGTAAAGTGAATTGACTGTATATATTTGTGGCGAACGCGGCAGCCAATTGCGTACAGCAATGTCCCACAAACAGTCGTAGATTGAAAATGACCAATTTATTATTGTTTTTGGTTTTGGAGGGATTATTATTAGGCGTGTGGAGTAAGGAAACTTGCCCAAGATTTCGCCCTGCCTGTTATTGAACTCAGGTCTCTCGCTTGCAAAGCGAGTGCTCTAACCACTGAGCTACAGGACTCTTAAATTAGTCCAGTGTATTAATCTTTATCACCCTAACCTGTTCCACTCCAGATTCTCTGAAAAGATACACTTCCTTATCTCTACCCTAAAATTGCCCACAACATCTCTGTACCTGTGCTCTCTTATCCTGCTATCTTGTCATACCTAAAGTATTGTTCTGGGTTTATTTTCTCAATCGCGTTTAGCATTTTAAGACGTCACCATCATAAAGCACCAACGTAAAACTGATTCCATACCAGCTAAAATGTTATATTTCATCTAATGTAGCTTTGTAATGCTTATATACCATTAAGGAGATTACATGAAGTTATTTTATATGTGTCAACCTAAATACATACACTTAGTGCTAGCGAAAATTATGAAGCGTGATAGGTTAATTAATACTGGTGCTGACACATTCTTTATTGCAATGATGAAAGTTCCATGTGAATAACTCTAGACATCGACTCATTCAAAGGTGTGATGTTCCTTTGAATCTATCACAATGGTTGGGACTGAATTTGGCTAATGGAGCCTATTGGACTTCACATTTACTTATCAAAAATTCGGACTGAAGCTGGCCTGCAACTAACCAGCAGTCAAATACATTCCGCTGGCCCAGCCATGATGAACTCAGGCAGTGGGGTCACACTGCCCTTACAATAATTCATGAAGACATTTTAGAAATGTATCTATTACTTTTTTAACCAGACCTGAGATTATTTTAAAATCAATTGTTTTGCGATTGCTCATTGGAATCAGATACTTTTTTGATGGTAACACAGTAGCTGAGTATATTTTGTTCTTTCAGAGGTTAGCTTATGCAATTACGCCAGAGAAAGAGCATCAGCTCATCGAACGTGGAGAAGTTCGCCAATTTACCGTGAGTAATTGTGCCACTGATGAAGGGAGCTCAGAGTAACTTGGATAAGGATTGTCTAGATCAGTGTATCTCAATGAACATTGAAAAGATCAGCACCAGTCCTGGCTGGTCCATACCAGAGTTGTCTTTAGATTGAGTGTCCTGATAACTACATTGGAGCCCATAGCTGGCACCTATTGGATATGCTGGGCCATTGATTGGAGTGCAGGTTAGCAGAATACCTGCTTAGCTCCACACAAAAATCAGAGTTAATCCGATATCCCTCAAGAAACTAGGATATTCTTAACCTCTTAGCATTCCCTATCTTTGATGAGAGTGATGACAGTGAGAGGAAGTTACAGCATTGACAAACAGAGGGAAACAGGCCTATTTTGCTCTAAACTGAACATTGAGAATGTCCTTTATACTCTGAAGCTCTTCCGCTGGGATATCCTATAGGCACCCCCTGTATAGAAGAGCAGGGAGTGTCCCATTCCAGGAAAGTCCCACTCTTCTTGGGTGGCTCCTTGTGTTGGGTCCCCATCCCTTTGGACTCCATGGCTACTCAGCCAATGGCATTTTATTGGATTACCAACATGCACACTAGTATTTCGTCCCACAGATACAATAGCACTGCACTATAAGGCTGCACTATTGGCCTCGTGACCCAGGTAGGCTTCTTTCTAAAGCCCATTGCCACTCAGCCTATGCTCTGATTGGGCCTTGCATGCAGACCCCATACATCTTGCAATTTTTTGCTATTTGTGTTGATGGAAGGCAGTGGTGCAGAATGAATACTCTTTAGGATTCCATTGTCATCATTTCCAGGTCAGGTTATGTAAAGCACAACTAACATAGTGGACGTTATGCAAGCATTCCTTGGGAAAGTAACATTTATGAAGTCTGATCTGCTTTATGTTGTTATTTAATTATTGCAAAACTTCTACAGAGGATCTTTTAGTGAAGTGTATTATTTCGAACATGTCTGTGACATGCAAATAGTCTTTGCTTACAGGAATCATGTGCTTCCCCCAAATCATATATAGGATTACTTTCCATATCACACCCTTCCGTGGTCAATAATTGGTTCTATTTATTAGTGGATGCTGTCTGAGAAAATAAAAACAACAATGAATTTTGTACTTAACATTGCTAGTAATGAACTTGACTTAAGAGGTCATGGGACACCAGTAAAACTTCTAGGTTAATGTTAGCCAATTTAAAATAAGCTGTGGCATCTCACACCATATTTGTCTCATGTTAATTAATTTAAACACTTCCACAGATCACAATATAGCAGATCAATGTAACATTTTTGGGGGGAGGGGAGATAAAAGCTTACTTTATCTTTTGCATAATTGATCAACAGCTCCGACACTGGCTAATGGTGTGAAAATGTGGAATGAAAAGATTAAAAATGGAAGATATGGACAGAAAGGAGCCAATGGTGGAAATATGGGCTGCAAGTGGAAGTACACAAGTATGTACACAAGTGGAACTACAAAGGAACTGTTCTGAAAGTTTTTTTTAAAAGGAAAACGTGAAATTCTGTCTGTAATTGATGCTACTTGTACTCTGACTGAGGACATCTCTCCATTTCTTGCTTTGGCGCTGTAACTGTCAAAAGGAAATGGAAGATATTTCCATTATCCATGGGCATATGTTGAATGAGCACTATCAGATCAAAGGTTTTAAAACAAACAGTGCCGAGTATTTTGCTTTTATACATTTAAATTACAACATCTTTGATGGGGAAGGGGAGATGAACATTGACTCTGGAATGAAAAACGTGGACAGTTCATTCATTCACACCATAAATTATCGATAAATGATTAAAAAGCCATTTCTTTCTATAGTTGCTTAACATTTGATATACATTCAAGCACTGTTGCTCTGACATGTTCGCAGTTTTGTTTCAAGAAATAAAGGATACATGGAGTATTTCACCTTTGAATTAATTGTCCCGCAGCTTAATCTATTTGTGCACTTTAACTGTTTATAAAAATAGAACATCTTAAAATTATGTTTCATATTTTAGGATAAATACTAAATTATCAGAAATTGAGAAAAAGAAAACAAATTAATATCAGCATTCCCCTTTATTATCTTAATCTGCAAAGCCACTTTAGGTAATTAAAAAGGACAAATATTTAGAAATTGCAAGCATTCAGGATATTTTAAACACTGTCTTAGTGATACAATAAAAGGCCTTGAGAATGTTATCTCACCAGATATGAAGGCAGTCTGAGGCAGGCAACTCATCTTTTCACTATGAAATGGATGGATGAGTTTCCTGTATTAAATAAAATTGTCATTTTATCTGTGAAAGCACACTGAGCAATACTGCTAACTTTACAAATGTATTTATAGTACCTGAATATCTGTCAGAAGTTGTATAACAAGTGCACACTGTGACTGTAAGTTGCATTTGTTTTATCTGCTCTCTGGGATTTTTAGCCCAGTTCATCTTAAGAAGGTAATCCTTTGAGCAATACACTTATTATGCCAACCTAAACATAGCAAGTCTAACACCTCCAGGATAATTACACATTAATGCTCAGAAAGGCACAGATTATGTTTTTCTCCTTTTTCCTGTATCTATCATTTCCAGGACTGGTCATGTCTATAACATTTGTGGATTTAATATATGAGAAAATAAGAATATGTTTGAAAAAGTGCCAACCAAACACAATACGCAAAGGGTTAAATTTCGATATAAAGTCCACATTGGTGCTTTTGAGGCAGGATAACAACAGCAAGTGTCAGTGAAGGAATGGCAATTTTGCACTGTTCTTATTTCTGTTTGTGTTGCTTTTGATCTCAGGAATTCAGTATATGCTGTGTAACCCCTCCAAGCCGTGAAAGGGGATGTTATCTGACTGCACTGGCATATCTCGTCTGGTGCAAACACCAGGGTTCTTTTCTACTGCAGTGAAGTTAGTGTTTATGTTACAGAATTTTTAAAAATGCTGCTTAGGTTTAAATAAACGCATGTTATTTGCTAATACACTAGGGAACTGCTTTGTTACACCCTGAAAATACATTTCAAATATAAAAGGAAACTGTGTCTGTTTTACTGACTTGATAGACTGTTACGGTAATATTCCAGTTAATTTGCCCAAATATCAATGTGTTATTTCAGTGATTGGCTTCAATGATACTGTAAGGTTTCACACATAAGATATACAGTGAGTGACTGCAGGATGACCGTCAGCAAATCCTCTCTTTGCGAATTCATAGATGCGCAGTCCATTTTCAAATTCAAGAATGTATTAGACACATGACATTTTACATTTCCTTTGAGGTTCATTTCTATTCCCAGAATCTTTGACGTACAGATTCAGTTCAAATCAAATTCTATGTGTACATAATTCATCAAAAGCATGGCAAGTTAGCTATCCTTCATGAATAAAGTACATGATTCTCCCATTTCCAAAACGATACAGCAAAATTAAGTCATTGCCTTTTCTCAAAGAGGGTATACAACTTGCACAGCAAATATTGAAAAGTTCTTTTCTCTTTTAAAATTATATTATGGACTTAAAATTCTATGTTTATTATAGAAATAATTGTTTCCCAAAACAATTAATAGATGTTTAATTTTGCTGTGTTGCATAATCTAAGAAGTCACAAAATAAGCATCTTATTTATATTTGTCCATAGAACAGAAAAACTGAAGAATAATGCTTTTCAGTTGAGTAAGCAAGCAAATTCACCATTAAGTGTGCACTGCAAACGTTTAATGATAGTGCCCACCCAAGAAGACTGTTGATGTGACACTGTGTTTATGTAATATAATACAAATTTCATTTGGTTTAACTTGTGAATTGTCCATATATTGGATTAATTTTTTGTGCTGTATATCCTTTATCTGTTGGTCCAAAATGTATTGCAAATTTCAATGTCTTAATAACGCTTATTGTAAAAACAAATGCTGTCCTGTTTTGAGTTCCTGTATTTGATCTTAGTCATGAAAATTAAAGCTTTTGTCTAATTTTGCAACTAATAGAGATGGTAAATGTAACGACCAAAAATGAAGAAGAAATTTCAAAATAAACATTTATGGTCTCAAAAGATCTACAGAATGTCATAATTATTTATGCAATTACTTCACGTGTTTTGGATATGCTTTTGATATAGACTTGTTTCTCACATTAACATTTGAAACAGAGTTGAAATGCTATGATTTTAATAGCAATGAGCTTTCTTGATGCAAATTATTATTGTGTTTAGAATCCTGCATTTGTGCTTTCATAGGCATGTTGTCATGGATCTGGGCTTCAAACTGCATAATGTATTGTTTTTCTCAATTTGTACTCGCACCATTTTAATCATTAGAATTCAGTCTACTGTACTGGCCTGAAATACCTGAGGATCATAGGTTAATCTTTGATCAGTGTTTAAACAGATTTCACTATTGCATTTATTAAACAATTTAAATTATTTGTATCAAAAATTACAATACATTTGATATAGCACCTATACATTCAAAACATCTCAAAGCGCATCATAGGTAGATAATGTAAAGTGAAGTGACTGTGTACTTAAAGGAAAATGCGACAGCCAATTTGCACACAGCAATGAATGATCAATTTTAATCTGAGGGATCATTGGTTTGGGGCATTTTTTCTTTTCAAATATTGTAATGGCATTTTTAACATCCAACTGAACAGGCAGGCAGGGCTTCTGATGGGGTAACTCCACTCTCACTCTTGTGATATTCATTGCATTTCTGACTGCTGGACGAGCAGTCAGAAATGCAAACCAAGCACCAAGGTCTTTTGAAAGCACAATGAAGGCTTAATAGGACTGCTCCAAGTCATTGACACATTCATTCAGAGATGTAGTAGCATACACCATGTTTGGACACGAGCGATTAAAGTTATTGACCAAAGAGGCATGGTCAAGGAGATATGATTTTATAAGGTTTATGAAGGCAGCAAGTGATGTAGCAAAATAAGTGGCTTTGAAAACTAGGTCCAGAAAACACGAACAGCTGAAGCCTTCAATGGTGGAGAAAAGAGAGCAATAAACGAGAGTTGGAAGAGGCTGAGGGCTGTAATATGGGGGTGCAGAAGGTTGCATAGGGAGAAGATCAGGATAAGGCCTGATGGAGGGATTTGAAAAATAAGTCAAGAATCCTAAATTTGATCAGCAGAGACTCTGGAAGTTGTGGAGCTGGGGAGTAATGGGTGTACAGAGCTTGTGCTGGGAACGAATTCAAGCTCCAGACTTCTGGATCAATCAAGGTTTCTATAGAATGGAAGGTAAAGAGATCGGTGCGGAGAATCAATCTTTCAGGTGACAAAGGCATTGATCAGGGTTTTGGCAACAAGGATGAGGAGGAGGGTTGGTCAAAGGACTCCATTAATATCTCATAAAATTGTCCCTGACCAGAATGGTTGCACAGTCCAGAAAAGTGCAAGTTCAGATTTGTGACATTTTAAACCAGCAAATCCACAAAAAAACTATTGGCAGAACCCAGCATCACAATAGTTATGACTTTTTCAGAGAAATAAGAACAGATTTAGACTAGACATTTGAAAATAAAAATCCAAGCACATTGACAACATTTGGTAAAGATTTTGACAACTGTAAATTGTGAGGGAGGAAAAGCACTTGTTGCTGAAAAAAGACAATTATCTCAATCCTTCGTACTGTTATTTTTGAATATTAAAGACCAGTGATTTGCACTGTGTGTCTGATCTGAGCTGAGAACAGACAAAAGCCTTGTTCCTTTATGGGTTTACATTGCAATACTGCACCTGCACCCCTCTTTGTTTAATATTAATAATGATGCCGGGCAAAAACGAAAACAATGAAGCTTTTACTAGAATACAGAGTGGGAAACAGCTGAGCACGGGAGGTTTGAGAACAGTGACCTGGGATCAAGCTTCTGTGTAGGGCAGACCTGGGGCTCAGGATGTCCTTCAGTATAAATCCACTGGTAACCTAGGAACAGGGCCACAAAAACACTTATGGAGCTGTACCATGACAGCACTGTAGGCAGCCAAGTGGAGCATAAGGGCAGGAGGTGGAGGAAGAGGTGGTAATCTTGTGAAAAAGGGTAAAGTCTGAAGCTGTTTAAAAATGCTATTTGTTAAGGGAGGCGTGAGGCAATGCAGTCATTCCGATATATTGTACCATATGCACAGGTTTGTGCTGTGGCAAAATAAATTATCCTCTGTTATATGCACTGTATTAAAAATCTTAATGAATGCAGAGACATACGGTCACAGTTATGCAGCAACACAGAGTGTTAATTGCCATTAAAGTACTGTCTGACCCACCTAATAATAATAATAATCCTTGCATTTTGATATAGCGCTTTTCACGTTGGGAGGACGTCCCAAAGCGCTTCACAGAACACACTGTAAAGTGAATTGACTGTAT